CAGGGCCGGTATAGGGAGAATAAATGATTCTGGAGGTGTATATGTATCTGTAGGTATGTGAGCATTTAAAATCTATTCATCCCAGGTTGATATTTTCAGATTCAGTACACACACAGCTGACAATGTGCAGTTCCAACACGAAGATGCCACGTCAGCGTTTTCCAACATTATTGAAGCTCCAGGAGCCCGACAGACAAACAACATGCTGAAGCTGTGGTCAGTGAGGTAACCTGCAGTCATTCGTGGTGGTTATTAAGTGGATTAACCCCTTTAGATTAGTCTCAGCCATTTCTTCCATCTGTCCACTGTTACAGCACAGGCCCGCGATTGTACAGCCACTGCAGGACACGCACACACAGGCGGGAAAACGCAAAGAAAAGGGGAATTAAAATGTGTTTACATGAGCATGTGAGCAAATCTTGTCCAACTGACCTACTGTACTAAATATCTGTGCGTGACTCAACACGCACACACACAAACTGACCACGACGGCTCGTGTCACATGCGTGCATACTGTAGACACGCTCGCATGCAGAAAACACACGCACACTAATCTGTGATTAGTTGCTGGTTGTTATTTGCAGATGAGTGAACAGGAGACATGCGACTCTTGTACAGTACTGACACAACAAGGTGCAGTTCAGTGGTGCGTGGCTTCAGACGCAGCTGTCAATAAGGAGGGACTTTAGATTAAATGTATGTCACTGTGACACTGCTGAGGGGGTGAAACTTCAAGTGTATAACTGACTTTTTTAGTGGGATTTTTGTCAAATTTAGCACAACTTACTTTAATGATGAAAATAGAAAAATAAGCCTGAAGAGCTGCAATTTTCTGTAGAAGGCCTCAGAGGATAAACGCTTCAATATTAGCTGTAGTTTAGCTTGAAATAGAGATAGCAAGACCATAAAAAATGGGTCTAGCTGTGGTAAATTTAAATAAATGATTACTTTTTAAATTAAGTTAGTTTTTAAAACTCACCTGTACAGACTAGCCTCCATATATATATATATACATATTTTTATCTAATGCTCTATTATTGCTCTTTTGTCATTTTTATTGTCTTTATTAATGTTGTATCATCTCTATTTTTATTGTTTTAATGTTGCTTTTTAATATTTTGTATGTTTTAATGTATTGTAAAGCACCTTGAAGCTGCAGTTTTAAAAAGGTGTTATAGAAATACAGTTTATTACTGTTATGACTAACCTTAAAAGTGGAGTGTGTGATTCTCATATAACACACTTAGTTTCTTTGTTTTGTTTTTTCTGTGTAATTCAATGAATATCTCCTTGGTTGTTCCAAAGTAGCTTGGAACAACCAACACAACATAATTTCAGCCAGTCCAATACTTGTGCTCATTTTTGCTTGTGCACAACAGGAAGAGCAGGGGAAGAACATGTTAACGATCAAAATATTCTAACTAGCTTAATATCAATAATCTTTCTCCAGAATTGCAGACTCCACCCTTAAGTACTCCTCCTACATAACTGAATTCTTGCACATATTGTGACATATGAAGCAGTTTTGCCAAAACTTGTGAATTACCTAATTTATTAACTTCAAGCCAACAGCTAATTAAAACCTGGTTAGTTTTGGAGAAGACAGTGACACCATGTAACAGTTTATATAAGTTCATCAGGTAAGGTGTGAAAAGTACAATAATTTTTTGTTTGCACATGTTGCGGCATTAAAAAAAAGAAAGAAAATTATTTGCAAAGCGACTTTTTATCCACTTTTCACTAAATATGTGACAACAAAAGATACCCAAAAATTACTTAAAAAGTACAAAAAAAATGTTACAAAAGCTGCTAATTATTTAGAAAATCCAGTACCTTCTAACAACTAGCTACCAAACGCTAAGTCGCCTGCTGGATGTAACCCATCATTAACTCTTTAAAACAATTACACATATTAGCTCAAGGGGTCTTGCTAAATTTTAAAGGTTTTCACAGGTAACTGCAGCAGATCAATATCTGGCACAGTTTATCTTTGCACAAAGCCTAAACACTCCCAGAACACATCGGAACGTTGCGTCTATTTTGATGCAGGTAATTAGTTCTGTTTCACAGTATTATTATTACTAGTGCTTAATTAATGTGCGGCTGCTTATCCAGATGGATGTGTTTTACCCTTTATGATCCACCAGAATATCTTCAAAAAAAAAAAAAAGCCTTTTGTTTGCATCACAGTCTGAGCTACAACTAAAAAAGAAAAACTACTGATGATTTTATTTTTTAATTCAAGCTTCATTTCTTTCACTAAAAACAACAAACACAAGTCATATAAAACTGATTTCAGCAGCTCACAGTGAAGCTTCTGTGAGTCAACCTGTGGTGAATCGAGACTAATTAATATGCAGCTCTCACATGACACCAGTTGACTGTAGGTCAGCCAGTCAGAGGATTGAACAGTTTGTGCAGAGTAAGTTCAGATCAGGGAAGCAGCCCGACATGAACCGAACACACTGGACATCATTGATAATCAATTAGAGCGAAGCCTCGAGGGCAGAGAAGGACGACAAGAAACAAATGAAAGGACAAGAGAGGAGAAAGACGAGTGTTCTGCCACCAGGGGACGAGTCACTGATTATTTCTGTTCAGACTCATGTCTGTGAAGCTATTATGGATAATGACACACACATGGTGGATGTCTGATATTAATACACAAATGACTGCATGTAGTGCTGCAAATGCAAGCAGAGGAGTGAAAAGCTCATCCTGCTGCTACCAAATCATCCAATTCCTACAACAGTTTCAGAAATTTATGAAATGTAAGCTTGATATGTCACATACTTTCTGAGATACATTTTTAAAGTTGCCCCTTGACCCACTTTTAGCACATTTTTTTTTTGTACATTTACATTTGAGGCTACGTTTGACAACAATATCTCAGAAACTATCAAAGATAAAAGCCTGAAATTTTCTCTGTTATTTCTCATCATGCTGTTGACTCAGAATCTGCACTATTGGTCAAGTAGATCAAATAGTCTCCGATTATGGATGAGCTGAAATACGAAAAAAATGAGTAAAGCCGTCATGAAAAGTCCAAAATGCTGATTATGCCGAAGTCAACTCGTGACATTTTCTGAACCGTATCACATCAAAACAAAACGAAACAAACAAGATATTTTTTAACATGAAATACTTTGTCACATAAATGAAAATATACCATTTTAAATATCTATAGTTTATGAAAAAGTTTCAAGCAAATCAGAGATGGTCAAGCAGAACGCCCCTGATGATAGGAGATAAAATAACCCTATAGGCAATTCTCGCCACTCAGCAGACATCTTGGTAACGTAGTTTTTTTTAGGTTAATAAGATAAGGCCCCTATCTGACTGAATGGAACGAGAGCCATAACAAATTTTATTTATAGCTCCTTTTCTTTTCAGAACAGAAAACATAAAGGCAGCAACAAACAATAACCTCTACCTCATAAAAAAAGGAGAAAGGTGCCCTTTTTCCCATACATTTCTGTGGATTTTCCAATTGTTCAGCTACATTGTGTTTGAACAAATGTAAAAAGACATGTTTAGCATAAAAAACAAATAAGGTTTAGGGTGTAGCAAGGATCCACTCAGTGCTGTGATATAGTCAAGAAATCCTAATATCTAATATTGGATATTTTCCAAAGTACTGGGAAATTCTGTGAGCCAAGTTTTAAAGCAAAGTCAAGATTGTTTATGTTTTCTAGAAACCTTTAGCAAGTTACTAGTTGTTGTGACCAGTCCAGAATGCATAACTTCTATTGTTTAATGTTCAGTAGGACATAAAAACTGCACGTATAGAATCACGAATCAAACTGGAGGAAAAAAGCTTTAAAAGTTTGGTGACTTTTCCAAAATTTTTAGTTTAAAAGGGTTTTTCTTCACTGCTATAATTCCTGACACAATATTTGCATCAGCGCGACAACGTGATTGTCTTGAGGTTTCCTGGTTTGGCTGATAAGAAGCAGGCGACTGGCTTTTTGAGCAGAAGTCCGCTACTTGTGGCACACAACTGCCATCTTTGGCCGAATTCTCCCATCGATTTCTATTCAGAATGCTTTAGCTACTACTACTGACAGAGGTTGTGGTAAAATAGAGAGAAGCGTGTTAAAAAATAGGGAAATTAGATCTCCGACAGGCAGCAGAAGTGTCCAGACAGGTCACGACCTCCCGCTGCTGCACACTCACACATCTGTCAGTCACTGTGACCTCTGACCTCCTGCTGCTTCCTGCGGCTGCAGAAACAGGAGATCGACCTTGCTGACCTCCTCACTTGCTTTCAGCTGCTTTTTTTTTTTTTTTTTTGCAGTTGTGACGTTTAAATGTTTGTTTTACTCTCATCTTGACTTTGTTTCCCTGAATAGATTTTAGCTGCTTAACACTGCACAAAATGTAGGTCACTGCCAAAAAGCCTCCATGTCTGACGGAAGGAAAAATCAGTAGTTTGTCTTTCATAGGAGCCAGAGGATATCATTTAGTCTTTGTGACTAGCGCCACCTAGTGGCTGGTCACAATCACTGTATTTATCCACTTTGTTTCAGCTGCAACAAAACCAGAATTCCTGGAGTTCTTCACCATTTTCCTGCAAACCCAGAAGACTGTCTGTAATGAGCATTTAAAAGCATGTTTTTCAAGAAATACTGATGAGTTTTTAATGGTTTATTTAGTTTAGGAACCCATAAAATAATCTTTAATAACTTTGTTCTAGGGGGTCGACCAGGAGGGGTTTTCCAGCACTGAGACTGATGCACTTTGTAAAGTTTGAATTCAATCTCCAACACAAAACATTATTGAAATGCTTTTGTTTTATGTGTAACTAAAAAAAGAACATTTAATTATCTGTGTTGGTAGGATCTATAATGAATAACCTATGAGAGACAAAGTAGTGCATTCTGAAATTTAACAAGGAATCATTTAATTATCAGAAAAATGCTGATTAGCAGATCTGATAACTGACCATGCCAGTGATTGGTACATCTCTGGTCTGTCCATCTGAAAAATTGCAAGAGAACTTCATATTTGTAGTGCTATCACAAAAGTTAGCATTCCTTTTATTTCTCAAGAAATCAGAAATCATCAGGAATACAGTCAATAAAAACAAATAATTACAGAAAAACTGTGATAAATACGAGATTTACCTTATTAGTGGACATTTGATACTAATTATATACATTAAGTGCTTAGATTTAAGTTTTAAAATGAAAAATCTTGTTGAAATAAAATATAGGAACAAAATCATGTTTGTCTGACGCGACTTGCATTTCAGTAACATAAAGACCGCGAACATGACACATGGACGGACACAGCAGGAGTAACGCTGACACTTCTCCTTCATTTACTGCAGCGGCCAAACCACCTCATCACCAAATCTCCTTCAGTTGGACTTTCATCAAAACCACAGCAGCTTTAAAGCTAAACCCAGTGATGCAAAATCCTGCAGAAAACTGAGGACAGACTTCGCCAGAGTGCAAATGTTTTTGTTTTCCAATTCATTCTTAACAGGGATGCGAATCTATCTGCGTATATGCATTGTGTGTTGACTGAAGAGAAATAAAACTTAGTATTTAAAGCAATTTTAAAGTTTATTACTTGTGAAAAGCTGACTGGTTCTTTCTGGGGAGGATTTTACATCACGTGTCAAATTTAATTCACATGCTGGGACACTTCATTTTCACATACAGGAGCCTGTCTTTAGATTAATCTCATTCACAGTGACACAGGTGGAGGAATCTAGAGACCCTGATGTTGTTTAATGTCACTTGAATCTCTCATGTCAGCATAAACACTAAACCTGTGACATAAATACTACAATCTAGGCAAAGTAACTGCATATTCTCACATACATTTTCCTTCATTTGACCACCGTAGACAGCAAAAGTCTGCTCTCTTCATTCACACTGATACAAACTTGAGTTGAGCTTATGAGAACCAAAGCAAGTTAAGGAAATTCCTACAAGAAAACAGCATATCGTTTAAGACTGGAGTGCAGGGCAGTGAACCAAAAATGAACCAAACAGAACAGACACAGAAAGATATCTTCATCAGGCCACCTTTGCTCTTAAAGCATCAATACTGAAATGCATTAAATAACTTATGTTAATAAAATTATTTTAAGTTACATTAAAATATTTAAACTAAAAGACGACTGAATACTCATTAGCAACTGTCCAGACAGTGTTTTTTCCCACAACATTTGACTTGGAAGAGTTTCACCGTTCTCCATGTTTCACATTTCACCCAGATCTGTTCTCCTGCTCATTGACTAGCAGCGAACATCCAGTTTTCACTCGTCCTGACTGGCTCTTTCTCTTTTTGTGTGATCAAGAACGTCAGCACCTTCTGTTGCTTATTCAGCCAAACGAGCCGAAGGAAAGGTGTCAAATCTACTGCACCACTTGCAGACGAGAAACTGATTTATAAACTTTCCATCGTTCGGTGACGATGCAGGAGTGTCGTGTCAGTCCAGCTGATCCTGATGTGCAAAAACAAGCGTCCATCGAAATTCGTTAATCTCAGGAGAAAAGTTTCTGGGTGAACAACTTGACTTCACAAAAATTGTGACCGATTCTTCTTAATTTTTCTATATTTCCTTAAAACCTCACAGAATGTTCCAACAGGCTTCGGTGCTGCTCCTGATGAACACTGCATCTCATCAAGAACTCCTCCAGGTTATTTTTCAGTCGAAGTCTCTGTGGCGAAGCTGCTCTTATCTGCTACACTGTGACACTAACAAATGGCCACAGATGTGCCGTCGTTGCAGATGAGCAGCTCTTCTTGTTTTCTAGTTGTGCTCCTGTCGTTGAACCAGTACAGATGCTTTTCACTTGGCGTGCCGGCTCTTGGGCTGAGCTCCAAGGCTGGAAGAAGAGCCAAAATGTCTCCCGTGGCTCTTCCAGCGCTGGCGCAGGACAAAGTCGTAGTTGGCAGTGGTGCACATGGCATAAAATACGTTGGCTTTGTCAGGGATCTGGAGCTCTGAGACAGAAAGAGGAATGAAGTGACAAAGTGTTGCCATTTAGTTTCTCTACACCTGATTTATCTGCTTCTCAGGTTAGTATGGGGAAGGATTTTTAAAAGCAACAATGAAAGCAAATTTAAAGACAATTAAAATGTGACAAGCTCCTGAAAACTTCATCATGTCTTGCATTGATTTGCATTGAAGTTTGTGGAAACTGGATTTTTTGCTTCCTCTACAGAGTATTGTTTGGCCATTTATTGTTGAAGTTTTAAAGGAACCAAAAGGTTCATTGCTTTAAGTGTAAATACTAGCACATATTAAGCTAGTTTTTGCAGTTCACATGAATATGTTCAAGGTTGATTTGCTTTTGGTGCATAAGTAAACAGAACTATTAGGCTCAAAGTTTTAAAGACTGACCCAAATTTAATGCTGCTTGTCTTGTAGCTTTGTAATTCTGTGTATAATCAGTTTCAAATCTAACTTTTCAGAAGGTTTGTTCTGCATTATTTCTTGAGTTACAAGCAAAAAGAAACTAAATTGAGGAAATATATTTACACACACAATAAGAAAGTTCTGCTCGGGGTTAAGAGGATTTGAATTATTCCTGTTTCTAGCAAGTTATACCAACTGTCAGAAAAGTTTAAGCAGCTCGAGGTGAAGCCTGAGGCGGAGATTTTCACCTTTTCCGCTGTTGAGCATCTGGCAGAGGCGGAAGTCATTGGAGCTGATGTCTTCCATGTTGTGCTTTTCAAGAGCTCTTTGAATTACCTGACGCGTGTGGTCCTGACTGGTCAGCTGCAGAGGAAGCACAAAATCAGACCAAAATCAATACCCAACACCTGTAATCAGAGCATGTATTAATCCTCTGAATCCTAAAGTGCACCAGTGGATTTGAAAGGCATGTTATCTTTTTAAAAAGTCTAAAAAAATAAATACAAAAAAACCTGCAAATGTCATCATTTATTAGAGCTAGAAACTGTTAAGCAGTTTTGCTTTTGAAAAATAATATTTTTAGGCATGGATACGTTGTGACTGTCATGACCTGTAGTGAATAACTGTCATTATGTTTAATTTTTAACACACTTAAAAAATAAAGTACTTTTTAAAAAAAAAAGGCTTTCTACAAATGCAGTAACCAAAAAAAATGAAAAAAAAAAGTTTGCTATCACACACAACAATTTTGCTCCGAAGTAGCCTTTGATTTAAACACTCTAGAATGAAGTGGGTCAGTTTTCTGTCAACACAAAGAGGTCGACAAAGTTCACTAAGCAATCCTGACTCTTCTGCTTTCCATTTATAGACCAACAGTCAGATTACAAAACTCACCAGGATGCTCTTATAGACATTTCCGTTGCTGACAGACTCCACGCTGACCCTGATGATGCACGAGTCGGCGACCTGCTTGTTGTAAACAGGCAGAGCAGCCTGAGGAGAGCAGCTGGACGAAGACTCCGGACTCAGAACCAGAGAGGAGGAGCTCAGATCTGGATGTGAGGAGCTGCAGGAGGAGCTGGAGGACATGGAGGAGAAGTCTTCTGCCACATTGTGAAGGGAGCCAGAGAGAGACTGAAAGAAAACAGGGAGAGAATATGAATCTATTTATGCCCCTGCTGACCTTCATACATGATCTGACTGTAAACACAGGGGTCTGTGGACTGACAGGCCCCATTACCTTGAGTTTGAGTCTGAGTGGTGAAGGCTGAGGGACGGTGAGATCCTCCATGTCTGAACTGCTGGAGCCAGAAGACGAAACGCTGATCTGGTCGGCGTGAGTCTTCCTGAGGGAGCTGTCACTGCATGTTCGCAACCTGCACACACAAATAGAGGCTGAGCACATTTTCACAAAAAAAAAAAAAAAAAAAAGTGGCGGAAATCCATCTTTTTTACTCATAGCAAAAACTAATGGATCAAACATCAGTAAGGAAATGCAAAGCATAATGTGATCAAAGTTGACACCAGCTTTAATGCAGTTTTTGGGGAGTTTTTAACCATTTGAACCCTGAACAGTTTCTGGGTGTTTTTTTTTTTTTTTGCTCCTGTCACATTTTCATTCACTGTAGGCTCAATTTTCTCTGCCAAAAAAAATCTCTGCACCTCGATGGAAACAGAACAACCATGACTAGAAGTAGAAGGACTTCAAAAATCTCTAATGTAGTGTAACACAGTTTGAATGTCATAAATATTTAAAAAATAAAAAACAAATTTAAATTATTTGATAATATATTTAACAAAAATGTAAACAAAACTGGAATGAACATGTACAATATTTTTCCAAGTACTAACAGGTGTTACCAATACTGAAAAAAAGAAAAGTGACTCTCCATACTAGTTGTTTATCTACTTACATTTCAAATTTGTTTCTATTCGTCTCAGTTTTTTTTTTAATGATATGGTTAGTGCATATGGTTTGTCTTATAAATGTGACATATGGAATGAAGTATCACAATTATGGAATCACAATTTTAAGCTTAGGCTTGGATAATTTCCTTGATGGAACCACACAAGACAAGGGAGTTATCCAAGAAGCCTCAATAAGGTTCAAATCAACACTTTTTTTGTTTTTACAGTTGGTAGCTCTGCTAAATGATGTAGTTTTGGCTTTTTTTTTTCAAGATAACACAACCTTCAAACTCACTGGCAGGTTTTGAAGTTCAGAGGGTGAATGTTTGCTACTTTAGCAATTTAAAACTAAACACATAAGAAAACAGGCAATGTTTTGTTGGTTAGTTAAGAGGAAAACAGTGCTTACTTTAAGAGTTAACTCTCAAAAACTTGTAAACAGACTTAATTTCTTTTCAAATTAAATATAGTGTACAGAGTTTTCAAGGATTTCCAAACATTGTGTGATGCGACGTCTTTCAACATTTTATCTTAACCTATTGGAATAATGCCAGTAAAGAAATGTTCACCAACTACAGAAACTAAATTACATCTATTTCTGGCAAGTTTTACACAGAGCTGTTCTTCAGGACTTACGAGGTGAGCTTCTTGGTGAGCAGGCGGCTGCTCCATGAGTTGGGAGAGATGGGACACGGGTCAACTGGCGGCTCCAGCTCACGAGACAGTTCATAGCTGCAGAAGCAAAAATAAGAGACATGATGAGCTGTGGGAAAACTTACTTTATTACCTTTACAGCACTCTACACGTGGATTTCATGTGTGGGTCAGTATGTGTCTCACCTCTCCTGGTCTGTTAGCAGAGTGTGCGCCTGCAGCCAGGACGTGACGTGAGGGTTCACTGGGAGGCTGTAGTGGGAACAAGAGGCCTGGAGCTGCTGAATCTGAGAGAGAATCTCAAACTCCTACAAAGAAGATCAATAAATCCACAGTAAAGAAAAAGGCAGCATATAGATTAAATTTTTTAAGACATTATTCAAAACTAGTCGTTCATGTAAGACACCACTAGGAGGCGACACCTACCCGCCTGCGTTTCTCAAAGTTGATGAGTCCTCCCTGTGGTACAAAGGAAAGCGTTACATGGGATCACAAAACCACTAAAGTCCCATAAAGAAGAACAAATAATGAACTAACCTCCACAGTGTCAGTCAGAGCTGTATCCAGCATGGTGAGGACGGTCAGGTAGGTGCCCAGATATGGAACAACGCCATTGCTGAGGGTCTGGAGACAAAAATAAAGCTATACTTTTAAAACTATTTCTACATTTTGTTTCTATGGCACCTTAAAAAAAAAAAACTAGAGTTTCTTAAAAAAAAAAAAGAACAATAAAACATTATAAAGACAAAACTAATGAAATAAGAGGAAACAGTCACAGCATCTTTGCTTTAAGCTTGGACTGTTGAATATTGAACATCAATTAATTTTTTTTATTTGAAGGGTTTAGGTGCTGAAGAAGGTGTAGAGCAGAGCCAGACCACATGGAGATTTAAAGATAATTAAAAAAATCTTATCTTGAACTCTGCAACAAATGGGGAGTCAAGGAGGGAGTATTGTGTTCCCATTGAGATTTTTCGAGCAACCTGTAATAGAGCAATTGCTGCAACGTTTAGGTGAATGAATAGTGAATTGCAGGAGTCCAGGTGGTACAAAATAAGGACGATGACAAGTCGTTGACGCTGCAAAATTAACAGACCAACATCACCGACTTCTGACTAATTTCTTGCAGATATTTTATGATCTGCTAAATGTTTTCGCTGTATGAAATTAACCAGGATGTCAGGATGTTGAGCTCTCTAGTGCATCCCAATAAATAAAGCAGAAATATAGGTTATGTGGAAACACACACGTACCATCACTGTTTAAACAGACGAAATATGGGGGCATAAAACGTTTTACACACAGCTCCACCCGCACTAAGTAAACTGATGAACTGTGGGAAATGCTGCACACGTTCGGTTTTATATCTTTCCCTACGTAAGGGGGAACACTGGCAGTCATGTGAGCTGCAAGTGTTTCCATTAAACACTCCGACTGGAAAAAGAAGAGGGAACTTGGTGTTTATCTTTAGTACGTCAGCTTGAATGCATGTGACTTTTTTAAGGAAGAATAATTGATGATGCAGGCAGAGAGAAACAGACCTCAGCCTTTCGTTTTTTTTACTGGCTAAGGTCTCTGGCGGTCAAATCTGACTGAATTTGAGGAACCAAACAAAAACGATGAGTGCCTTCTTACCGTCTGTTTGGACTCAGAGCAGAGTTTGGGGGATTTGGAGCCTGAGGTGGCACTGCTGTCCAGGTGACTCCCGTCCTGCAAAGAGTGGACAAGGTCAGCATTGATGGGTCGAAATAATTTAAATTCAGGGTGTTAATGTGACAACAAAGCAGATGTGTTATATAATAATTCCTCTCAAGGTTGAGTGCCTACTAACAGGGTGCTGTGGGAGTGGGAGCAGTGCAAGCCATGTGATAATCGTGTGTTTAAAAGCAGTCGTAGATGCTCGGAGAGAATTAAATATTATATTCTTAATATATTAACAACCTCAGATTAATACTGCAACCCAATTAGCTTGCAGCTTTATTGGTGCTGGGCACTAACAAGGAGCTTTTGCTGCTGATAAACGCAGTATCACTAAATACACAGTCATATCAGTCATTTTCCACAGCGTCCGGCTCTCAGAACAAAAAACAGAGCGGCAGGTGGACTAGACGTTAAGAAGTCATTCAGTTATGAAAAACAAACGGAAAACAATACGTGATTAGACTAACAACAGGGCAGTTTATTAAGTCCGTGTTAGAGGTCTTGTGTATACATTTGATTCAGTAAGGACCACGCGAACAGGTTAACCATCTGGACCCCCAAACCTGCTGTTGGCTTTGAAAGACAAATTATGCTTTAAAAAAATGACAAAAATTACACCATTTCTAAGAACCAGAAAAACAGGAAGAAATGGCAGATCATTGAATTTATGTGTGACTTTCAGTTCCATTGCAAAGATGAGCGAAATCTGAGCTTAACATATTTAATCAAAATCACTTTATTCTCACTAAGATGTTGACGAAAATAAATCATGTGCACCAATTAGCTACTGCAAAAAACTAAACTATTTTTTATTCTGTTTGAGTGCAATCATGAAGCCACAAGTGAAGCAAAGAAAATCACACCCTCTTATAAGACTGACTGATCCTGTCCTCTGTATTTATAGGTTTTCTATTTATTAAGGTTTAATCTGTTGTTTATTAGTAGCTTATTGAACCTGGATATGCAGTTCCATCTTGTGCAAATGACAAATATTGTACATGTACTGAGGCTCTCTCCATCACTCTCATTAGTATGTCTGAATAAAGCTTTCATTAACATAAAAATGACTTCTGACAGCATGATGTCACTTTAAAGGACTAATGAAGCCAGCAGTGTTACGTATCATGTTTCTAAAAAGGGCTTTGTTGTTATAGCAACAGATCTTTCCCAGAGACATCATTCCACATTATGTCACATGTGTTTGGATAGAAAACACATGAAGTTACCTCCACCAGAATCTCTCTGCTGGTCAGCACACAGTTCTCATCTGGGAAAGTCTCACACAGGTGGTCAAAGGTTGCCATGCTTTCCCTAAAAAACACAAACATATTTCATATATTAATAAAGCTTCTAAAGTAGAATCACTATATTTTATTTGAAATATGTGCAGCGGGCTGTAAATGCTGGCTGACCTGCTGACAGCCGCCCAGGTCTTCTTGAGGCGATACACAGCGTTGGACTGCAGTGCTGAAAGCATCGCTCTTAAAGAGGAGAAGTTCTTCAGCTGTCTGCACTCCTGCAGAGACAAACCACACAGTTGTATCTTTATGTTTCACTTGATTGCAAACACTAAATAAAAATTCTTTAAGTTTTTCCTGATCCCGACCTGTGCGATGGCGATCCACCTCTCGATGATGCGTGCTCTGTGGGCGGGGCTGGTGTGCGAGCAGTGAGGGGAGCTCGGGGCGGTGGACGGGTACGGGAAGGCAGAGGACAAGCAGGGCGACGAGATGGGGGAGGAGGTGGAAGGGCCTGGTGCGGACGGACAGAGCAGCGAGGTGATGACACGGTTGGTGACAGCGTTAAACTGGGATATGGTGGCACGCACTGTTGGCGCCAGGTTGCGGTTTTCTTTCTTGTCACGCTGCGACCAGATGCAGCCCAGACAGTGGAAGGGAACCACTTTGACAAACAGCTCCTGAGGGAGGAACAAGACATAAAAAATGTCAAAAAAAGTGACACAAATTCCGTGACGTGTCACAGAACTTAAAGGTTTCTGAGAATGAAACTTACAGCATCCAGTCTGGTCAGCTGCTCCGCCACTTCCCTCACAGGAGAGTCCATAAAGTTGAATTTATCTTCCACCTGAGTGGACAACTCCAGTCCGTCTTGCTGATCTCTGAGCTCTTGCTGTGATGATTCACTGTCGTGCTCTGATGCAGGCTGGCTGCAATCTATCAGACACACAAAGTCAGAAATGATATCCAAACGTGCTGATCTACACACACTCACAAAATGAAGTATTTCAGCTGCAAATTGTTGTTTTTGTTCTCATCAAAATAAACAGAGTACTGAAGTTACTGTAATGCTAAATATTGATCAATATTCATCCACTTTAACTCTGATCTATACACTTAAGCTCATAGTTGCAATTGAAGTGCATATTTTGACTATAACTCTTCCACATTCTATATCAGTGATTGCTGCTGCTTCATTTTTCAATGAGTTTCAATAGTAGAGAATCATTTGCACTGAATTAAATCATTATAGCAGATTAGAGGTAATGTGGTGATGTGGATACAGTCTAAAGAAAAGTATAAATATAAGGGCTTCAGTATAAAAGATGGATAGCCTGAAACTCTAAATGTTCAGTGTGCTTAAAATTTGTTATTCTGGTGATGCACAGAACGTCATGCATATAATTTTCTACCATACCTTGTTCCTGGAGCCTCTTGAGCAGGACGTCGGCGCTCTGAGCCAGTCGTCTGAAGCAGAGGCGGCGGTGCAGGTGGGCACACAGCAGCCGGAGGGCCTTATACTGAGGAGGTTCTTGGAAGTCTTCACTGTGTTCCTCCAGCCACAGCCGAATAACCGGGAGCAAGGTACTGAGGAAAGATAATGGGGAATTAATAAGTGTTAATTACTAGCCCAGGTAAGTCCTGCTGATATTAAGAGGCCTAAAGACATCGGTATAATTTGTAAGAGACAAATTAAAAACATTTGGGAAAAGGTGCGACAATGTTATATAATGTTATTCGATTAGAGTCAATTACTAAAACCGGCTGAACTCACCTGCGGTGGCAGACGTTGTTATCCAGGTTGGTGACTGAGTCGTCTCTGCGGGGGGGGAAAGAGAAACACAATTACTTAGCAGCTAAACTGTCAATTAAAGACCCTGTCTGGTGAAATTCAAGCTTTTTACTTTTTCTATCATGTTCATATTGTGGTTTTTATATTCTAGAAGGCAGAGCAGAATAAGCAGCTTGTACTATGACCGAGCATTTCTGCCCTAAAACTGCAGATGACACTTAAATATACAGACTAAGACTTCTGTGGTTTCATAAGGAACAAACATAAGGAACAATCACATCAACTTTCAGGGTGGGAATTTCCATGTCTGCATTCTTCTTTCAGAATTTGGTTTCCAATTCAAACATGCATGGCTGGATTACTCCATTTTGTGGCCCAGGACACATGAGCTTAACCAACCCAGAATGCAAAGAGACATTAGCCATAAGCTGCTTCGTAGATTTCACAGACATGTGTCCTCTAAGAGAAGCTACAATGTATAGTTACAATTTTAGATTATTTCCATGGGGAAAAAAAAACTCCTGAACATGTGATTCTGACACACATACGTGGGTTTTTAGTTGATTTCCAATGATTATCACCACATTTAGGTACAACATGGTGACTGAGTGATGACAGAAAACATCCTGTAAACAGCAAAGATGTCAGGGTTGAACCTTCCTCACTGTTCATCCTGTGGAAATGTCCTACAGCACTTTGAATCAGCTGGGACACTGTGGCCTTGTTACACAGTGTAAACAGATAAATGTCTCCCTTAGAGGATTAATACCAACATCATAAAATACATGTGCAGTAAAACTGAAGCATGCTGCCATGTTGTCTCATCTGTAGGAGCCTGGTTCAAGTTTTATTACAGGGTTTTTTGTCTTTATTGCACCAAAATGTGACACCTAACAGTCTGGAATGTAGGACTAGAAGCATAGTAAATTGGAGCAAATGAATGATGGTGTAAGCTGGGTAAATTAATCCCAGTTTAGAGAGCTCTTACCCAGTTACAGCGCAGTTATAGCTTTATAGTTTAACAATATGTTACATCCTGTACAGAATCCTGCAGGTGAAAAAGGGAGAACATATTTTCTAGTTAGCCCTGACCTCACCATAAAGCTCACCAGAAATCTGTTGCCACCAGCACTGCAGACATGAGGGTGACTGTTTGACAAATAATATATCAAGTCTGCAGCACTAATGACCACAGTTTTAGACTCTCATAATCTCATTTGCAGCTCAGTCAGAAAAGGTGAGCTGCAAAAAACTGATTGAATTCTAGTTTCTTTTTGCTCTCCAATCATATATTGAAGAAATCCTTTTCAATCTAAACTAATTTATACTCTTCTTGAGATAGAACCACCCCATTCTCCAAAAACATTCCTGCAGGTAAATACTAATAAAACTTAAATCAGGCATATGAAGCAGCTCCTCTGCTAGGCGTGGAGGGCGTCGTCGCGACTACTGTAGTAAATGGAACAAAGGCCGAGATTGCTTTGTTTAGATCGTGACGATAACAGCCGTCATAGAAAACCTGCTCCGCGTCAACAGAGGTATGTTTTGTGAATAACTGATGCGACATAATTAGGGCATTTAAACACTGTCTTTTGGAAATTGCTTTGGCAAGTAGTAAAACCTGGTTACACATAAGATCAGCTTGCACTTGTACACAGTGACGACCTTTGTGAAAACAGCACACACACTGGAATAACAAATCAGTGTTAATAAGTTGGGATGCAAATATCAAAGCTCTCTTATTTGCTTCTGGCTTCTGACACGGAGAGACAACTTTTAACCGATTTCACTTTTAAAAATGGGAAACCAGTGAGTTAGTAAACTCAATAATATACAGGACCATGTGATCAAAGTTGGTTTTGTTATTACCTTTTACACTTTTTAGTATCTTATTTTAAATCCATGTAGTATAGCTAGTTTTCCACAAAATAACCGTCCTCACTTTCTTGCCAAGAGATGGCTGATTCATATCTGTGAGCTAAATGTGAAGCCACAGCCACAGTCAGTTAGCTTAGCTTAGCATCAAGACTGGAACCAAGTAGAAAGTGGTAGCCTGGCTCTGTTTGAATGTGATAAAAATTAAAATTAAAATTAAAAATGAAACAATAAATGCAGAGTGTCATTTTGCAGGTGGATGTAACTCCTGGCAAGAAAGCAAATAAGTAAGTTTGACAAAATAGATACTTTACTCATCACCTTGGGAAAGTTAAAGATATCCACTTGTTCACATTTAGGAAAAATAAGGAAAAAAATAACCTGCAAATCGTAATGACGAAAGAAATAAAGTGTCCAATTATTCCTTTCTCCACCAGCATAAATCTCATGGATCCCTCTAAATCCAGCAGCATCAATGACCTTATATGTGGCCTTGCAGAGCAGCTGACTGAGCCCTCATGGTTTGTGTTAACACAGCTGACAGCTAAAGTCTGCAGAGCCTGCACGTGTAACAGTTTCTCACCTCTGAAACAGCAGCTCGATGAGGGTGCTGGTGGAGGTGAAGGCCCTATAGGTGGACAGGAACACAGGCATGAAGTCGGGCTCGCGGTGCTCAGCGTCCAGCAGGTGGGTGACCAGACGCTCCAGGGTGGCAGCCTTCAGCCTGCGCACTTTCACCGTGTGGTACTGGACGAAGCTGAAGGCCGTTGGCAGATCCGTCGCATCTGAGCCGGGCAGGACGGGCTCCCTGCGCAGCGTGACGCCAAACACAGCTCCGTCTTCCTCCTCCTCGCCCCACTCCTGCACCGGGTCCTGCAAAGGGGAGGAAGTCAAGGTCATCAAGATGTGGCAAATAGCAAATCTTATACATGATATCACAGCAAGAAGGTCGCTGGTTCGCGTCCCAGTGAGGACACCCATAATCTTTCTGCATGGAGTTTGCATGTCCTCCCTGTACAGCGTGGGTTATCTCTGGGTTCTCTGGCTTCCTCCCACAGTCCAAAAACATGTTGAGGTTAATTGGTGATTCTAAATTGTCCGTAGGTGTGAATGTGAGTGTGCTTGGTTGTCTGTCTCCAAGTGTGGCCCTGCGATAGACTGGTGACCTGTCCAGGGTGTCCCCTGCCTTCACCCTAAGTCGGCTGGGCTCCAGCCCCCCGCGACCCTAGTGAGGATTAAGCGGTGTATAGATAATGGATGGATGGATGGATGGATGGATGGATGGATACATGATATGAACTTCATGATACAGTAGAAACCCAAAAAGAACTTTATGGGGGAAAATGAATACAAATCAAAAACTTTATTTCTAATCTTTACAAAAAACTTGCATTGCAAAAGTGAGATTATGTTTCAAAATTCCTTTTCCATATGACAGCTACAATATGTCAGCTATGGAGCTTCGTCCACAGCTGCCGTCAACATCTGCAGTAAGTTTTGCGTCAGTTGATCTCATTTTTCAGACGCTGCCTATGACCCAGCCTTGAAATCTGACCTAGACAGACAGACAGACACCTGGTGACTGAACAAAGAAGCATTCACTGGCGTCCTTGTTTATGTCCGCAAACACGTCGGGGACAATTAATTGAGCCATGACACAGTCTGACCTGGAATTTCCTTCATTTTATTTAGCTACAGCAGATCTCACACTATTTGGCCCCAAACTGTAGAGAAACACTGATAAGTGGATGGTGAGGCAGAAGTTGTTTTGCTCATTCTTTAGTTAGACTCTGGATTAGTTTTGTTGTATAAAAGTACAGTTTTTGCTGCATTTTATCAATCAGTTCTTTTTCTGTTATTTTATTTATACACTTTGTATGTAGAGATTGATTCATTTTGTTGCAGATTTGAAATGACAATAAAGAAATTCTATTCTATTCCACGCACAACAAATGAGAAAACAAACACTGTTTATAAAGAAACAACATTAATTTACAGCCCTGGAGCACTAAATTGATTTGTAATGCCACACCACATGGCAAAGTTTACTTAAAAAAGAAAAACTGAACTGTCATTTTTACCCAAGCAAAGCACAGGTTATGCTTGCAGTGTATTGATTTTGTGCATTAGGAGTTATTATCAGTTTCATAGATGGCACAGATGAAGCAGAGTGAGTAAAACTGCAGAGCAGTTTTGCAATACAATTCAAAAATATATGGATGCAGCTGCCCTTCACAATACCTTCAGAAGATGCAGTTGCAAGTGTTTAAGAGTTCATTTTTTATATTTAGAAGACACAATCAAACCCAAAGACACAAGACAAAACTAGAACAGTGCTCAAATCACCACAGAAAATGATTTAAAATATTAAAAACACGCAGATAAAAGTCAGATTTCCCAACTACACTAAGTAAAATTGATTGGTTATATAATGCATTGTGATAAATCTATGGTTTGTTGACTAAATGAGCCATGTTCTGTGGGTGTCACCTCCTCTCCTGCCACTCACTGGCCTGGAATGAGGCGCATTAACTGGTCTGCAACATGTGTCCATGCAGGTGGTTTGTAATCACAGAGTTATTTGGCACATGTGTGACAATGGAAGGAGATCATGCTTGAAAACACCTGATAACACATGACAGAAACCGGTGTGTTCAGACAACGCAACGCCACGCTGCCGTGAATGAGACCTTTATCAGTGTGTTGGTGCTGCTGACAATTAAATTCACATGAAGCTGACAACACACCAAGGAAACACAAAAACACTATGCAGACTGTTTCTAAAGTCTCAGCTCAGCGCCACAAGGCAAGAAAAGTAAAAATTAGGATGAATATTTAGGAGGGAACCTACCATAGATAAGTGCCATTTCCCCATGTTTGTGTTTCTGTCGTTCTTGGAGGGAATAAATCCGCAGTGAAGACAGATAATTAAGGATTCAACTCCGATCTCCGGCAGTTCAAGTCGCCTGATACTTTCATTTTTACAGTGAATGCAAGGAAACAGTTTTTAAAAAGTGTCCAGAAGTCGGAGATATCGGCGAGTTTGTCAGTGGAAGGACTGAACTGGGAGAGAGACGGTGAAGAGAGGCAGTTCAGTGGCGGGGCTGGTGAACAGGTGTGGGCGGGGCTTCCACTGTTGACCAATAGGGTCGCACAAGTGAATAACATCATATCTTATTATGTAAATTCTACATGTGAGGCTGAGACTGGAAAGTTGATGCTGAGTATATTGAGACACTGAGGATGCATCTATTGGCACCTCTAAAAGTTAAGAATAACTTTCCACTGTCAATCAAATGCATTTTGCACAGAGGCCTATTTATCTGTTTGGCTGTTTATCACTGGTAAACACTTCATATTGTTCTCATAATGCTTTGTTTTTCTGTTTATTCTACTGGCTTACAACCAGGATCTGAGTACTAATTTCATGCCAGCTCATATTGATCCATGCGCTGGTATAACAGTAAAGAATCCTTGAATCCTTGATTTCTCTTATCCAGGGACATTTTAAGGAAAACCTCAAGGCATACATGTTTTCAGTGCCTTTTAGTTGCCCTTAGTGGACTAAATATTTTACACTTAAGAAAATCCTAATGTGCAGTGTTACAGCAGCAAATAGGACGGTGCAAAAATGTGGCGAGCATCAGTAAAAATATCCGAATAAACAAGAACTGTACATGCAAGTACTGTTGATATGGCACAGATTCTTTCATGACTAGAAATAATTTATTCTAAAGTTTGTCTTACAAGTTGTTTCCTTGTTTTGTAGTGTTATATATATTTATTTTAAAACATTTAGGTCTTGTTTTTTTGCACATATTTTTGTTGCTTCCTGTCCTATGCCATGTTTTTGTAAGGTCTGTACCTTACTTTGTTAAGCGCTATGTGATGACATATGTTGTAAACTGCGCTATACAAATAAAATTGAATTGAACTGAATTGAATGTTTAGCGTTTTGGTCAACTCAGATTGCTTTAAATATGTACGATATAAATAAACTTTATATGAAACTTGATTTAATTTTGAAATCCTGCACTACTTGGACAAAAGTTAAACCTTTTTCTTCATGTAATGCAACAAATAGCATGTTGTAGAGTAGACGTTGCCCTCAATTCACTAATCAATTTACTGCTTTGAGCAATTTATGAAGAAAAAAAAGTAAAATTCTCACATATCAACTTCATTAATTTTAACATATGCTTTTTTCTTTTTTTTTTACTCCTCTGTGACAGTAAACTAAATGTCAGGACTGCAAGAAAAACATGGTACTGCAATATTGGGTTTTTCTGCAATGTAGCTGGTTAAGGCATCTAAAAAGCAAACGATTTTAGCTTTGGACTGTATTCACATGTGGCTTTGCGCTTGTCATATAGAGCTTTGTGGTGCTGATTTAAATTGTCAAACAGATCAGTTATGATGTGTCATGTGGTGGTAAAAATTGTAAGACACTGCTGGTCAATGTAATCTTCTGAGTTTGTTTTTGCAGCCATATATTCTTTTTTCAGTCTTTGTCTCCCTTTTCTTGCTCATTTTACTGTGCACAAATGGAGCGGAGAGAGATTTCTCATGTAAATTTGTCATGCACTGTGTGCCTTACTTAACATCACATTTCCTGCAATGTGACACACACATTGTCATGGCAATGCAGAAACATAATTTTCAGCTCCCCTCTTTGGATAGTGGACTAAACAAGACACTTGAGGACATCTTAGACTTTAAATAAGAATTACACTGATTTAAATCTGTATTGTTCCATCATTAAATGAATGAACTGTTTTCTAGCTGGCTGTTACTGATTTTATTTACTTATTTTCTAATCTATGGGTAGGTGGGGGTTTGGGTTTTCTGTTTGGTTTGTGAAGAAAAAGGATAAATCATTCAAAGCACAGCTCTCAGATGAATGTAGTGGCGTAAAACAATTGCAGCTTCAGTGGTTTGAAAAGGTACCTTCCCTTAGTTACAACAGCAGTTTCTGTGTATCATCACAAGGTATTATGTCTTACTGCAACACCAGCCACAATCATTATCCTAGTTTCTACTGTAATCCCTCTAAGGCAACTTGTACATGACATGACAATGTGCACACATGACATTTTGGGGTCATTGCAGTTTTGCAGTTTTACCACATTAATTTGTTTATTAAGCTGTGCGTGGTTATTTTGGACTATATTATATTACATAATTAATTATATTCATTAAATTCATTATCAATTGCAGAATGTTATTATTTTACATGTATAATTATATGTGTAACACTTGAATACCATTTTTAATTGTCTGAGTGTAAGTTTGGTTCCTGCCTGTTCTAATACTTGAAGCCTATGTCTGTGATGATACCTTCAAACTTTTAATTGAGTAGCATTTTCAAGGCAGAGCTTTTACTTTAACAGTGTGATATTTGCACTTTTACTTGAGTAAAGGATGTGAATAGTATTTTCTGGCCATTCACATGGCCTCACTTTTCTTACAGCAGACAAAGTTAAAAGTGCAGCCGCATCCTCACACACTGAAATCGCCATAATGTTGGTTTGAACATATGACCTTTCATATAATACATTATGACAACTTACAGTATTTTTATGTTGCATTAACATCCATGTGTGACAGTGAATTACAATCAGGTCCATAAGTATTTGGACAGGGACACAGTTTTTCCTAATTTTCCCTCTATTTCTTCCTCTATAGTCTTTTCTCTCTAATAGATGTGCTTTGTTTTTTCAGCCTCCCACACCTGGGAGACACCAATTTGGCCCACATATTAGGAAACCTCCTCATCTATCAAATGACTCAACACCTGGAAACACCTGCAGACCTTTTATATCTAGAATTTCTCTTGCAGTAAGAAGGAAAAAGGCCACACCTGGCTGTGATACTGCCCATCAGTCAACTGTCCTACTTCTTTCTGAGCTTGTGAAAATGAAAAAAAATATTTATAAAGAAATGGCTGTAATTCTTAAATGGTTGATGCAATATTTTTGTGAGACGCCTTGAATTTAAGCCAAAACTTCGGTCACATGTCGACCATGTCATTTCAAATCCACTGTGTTGGTGTACAAAAGCAAAATGACTCATTGTCCAAATAAATGTTGACTTGTTGGTATGTGTGTACATTTTAAAGCACGACTGAGTATGTTGTATTCCAGCATTAGTCACAGATTGTGTAACAGCAGACTTGTTATTTATCAATATAATTCAGCAAAGACAATACTGGGTCATCTGGTGGTCACACAAAGTAAAACAATGAACTTTTAATTCATTCACTTTCCTTAAATTCTCTGTCTGATTGAAAAGAGGCCCAGCATTTTTCGACTCCTCACTCCTTTCAGGAAGCATTTATTTGATTTTATGGGACGAGATTAAATGCAAAACGTTTCATGAATCATCCGGAGGCGAGAAGTGGAATCCAGGCCAACTTCATCAAGTGATGCATTCAGCCTTTAAAGAATCCAGTCCGGACAGTTTTTTTTTTCTTGACAATGTTTAGTTTACCTTCCTTGCCCTGGTGTTTGGGCGTGGTGCGACATACCACCTAAAACTGGTCTGTTCTGATCTTGAAAGATTGAGCTTGTAACTACAAGGAAGCATAAAATGAGCATATACATTTAGAGCCTTTTGTACTTACAAATGTGTTATACTTTTCGTAAGAAAATTGCAAAAAAAAGACAAAGTAAAACTCAGAGAAGCTGAGCAGATGGGATGTCTTTAATCAAGCTGTCTGCCGCTCATTAAGCCCAAAGGGAAGAATATGCTCTTTGTTTGTCTAATGAGTCTCCATCTCTCTGAATTGAAACTCTACAATCACTCTCTCGTGTTTGCCGATGCCACCCAGTATTCCTACAAAGGCTGAACAAAAGAGCGGAGCAGCAGCGGCAGCAGAGACCCCAATTAGTTCTGATTAGACACATGAGTGGGTGATGAGGTGGCAGAGGAGGCAGCAAGCGTGCACGCAGAAGCCAAAACATGTTGTTTAAAGTTCTCTGAAATTCACACGATCAAAAGGCTGCTTTTCTCACGAAACACAAAAATATGATGCATACTTCCTGCAGAGTCTCTACTTTCTCCTCAGTGTCACTAAGTAGGTGCTGGGGCTGATGACAATCTGGGTGGAAGGAACAATAGTGGAAGTTCCCAGACTAAAAAAAAAAACCTGACGTCAACAATGACTGAACATACGACAGGTGATGCAGTTTGTGCATCACACATCAGCAGTCCAATCAGTGAAAAGAATTCACTGATTCAAGACTCAGAAGACACCAACTCTCAGTGTAAATCTTATCTGGAAGGATTTGCATTTCTTTTTGTAATTTGAGAATCCTTTGGAGTCATATTCTTCATTATTCATTAGAAAAGGTTTTGTTGTTGTTGTTTTTTGTTTGTTTGTTTGTTTGTTTGTTTAGCACAAATGGCAAAAATCTGTAATTTCAGCCTCTTAAATGGAAACATTTTCTGGTGTTCTTTTGTCTTTTTCATGATGACTCTATGATAGCAGAAAGAACATTCTTCAGGTATTGAACTACTGTTGAAATCAACACAGGCTCAGAGAACTTGTGATGTGATTTTCCCATGATTCCCTGATGTTTTATTGAACAAATAATCTACTGAGGAAATAGCTTAATGTGTATAATCTTTAAAGTATATCTTTGGGTCAAATTAGCCTCAGAAAATGTACTTGTTGACGTCTCAGAGGACACTAAATCTCATTATAAATGTATTTTGAAATGGAATAAATTAAATCAGCATTTTCATTGTAAACTGAGAATCACTTGGAGTCATAATTCCCCTGTAAATCAATAAAAACAAATGGCAAAAAAACTCAAAAACTAACATTTTAGGTTCTCAAAGTGAACATGGTCTTCTATGACAGTAGAAAGAATATGCTTTGGGTTTTGGACTTCTGTTGAAATAAATGTTGATGAAAATCTGAAATATTTGGGTTTCAGAATGCTGATCGAACAAAACATGAATCTAAAGATGTTGTGTTGGGCTCATGATAACTTATGATGGGTGTTCTTTAAAAGTTTGTTAAATTTCATAGAGTGAATGAAAATCTGGAAAATAATCTCTAAAAAAACAGTGGCTGCTGCTTCTGAAATGAGAAGATTTTCTGGTTTTGCTAGCATTTCATGACTATCTATGACAGCAGGAAGAAAATTCTTCAGGCGTTGGCTGCTGTCGATGTCAGCACGAGCTTTAGGAACTTGTAATGGGAATTCCCCATTATTTCCTGATAATTTGTTGACCAAACTATTTACTGAGAAAACAACAACTGATAAAAACAACTCCCGTAAGCTGACTGTCGGACAAACAAGGAATTTGAAGACATCACATTAGGCTCATGAAGACTTATGATGGGAGTTATTTTGTTAAATTTTGTAAAATTTCATTGACCAAATAGAAAATGTGAAAAAATATTTGACTGATTAATCAGTATTACAGATAATTGGTGGATGATTTGGGCTCAACAGTAGCAGAGAGAAGCATGACTTTATCTTTGTACTAGTTGTCAAATAAGTTCAAACATTTGAATCTGTTAATTCTTGTGAAGGTTTAAAACTATTTTCCAGACCTAAATATCATAAACCTTACAACTTTAACAACCTAGATTATATTTAATGTCATATCACAGTCAATCATATTATGTTGGAATATTTCCTGATGAAATGGGGATCACCTCAGTAAAATTAATATTTCTATGTTTCCATGATGAGCTTGGACAATAAGCTGCAGACTTCCATGGGAAAACCCCCCAAAGCATTAATACTTTGACTTTCAATAGCTGTTCCACAACCCCTGAGCTCAAACTCTTTAGATGAAGTTGTAAAATACAACACAACAGAGATAAAACAGGAACAAACACTGAGTACTTCTGCCCAAAACTCACCTCAAACTGTCCATCGATGTCCAGTAACTGGAAGCTCCTCAGCCACACTCCGGGCTCCGTGTCCATGTGGACTCCCACGCAGGGATTTGGCTTGAGCATCAGCAGCTTCTTCATCTTGCCCACCCGGCTGCGGAGGCTGCGGGCTTCCCCTCCATCACTGCCTCCACACACAGGAAGGACGGTCCTCATCTCTGGCTCCGGTTCGGTCACGCCACGGGCCCACGCGCCTCGTCAGATCTCACCCACACCTGCTGCTTCATCTGAGTCGAGGAGGAGAGTGTGAAACCGATCGGCTGCAGTTGGTTGATTCAAAATAGTCTTCAGGTGAAGCTCAGCAACTCACACTCCTCTTGGTTTCTGCCATTTAAATCCCAATAAACCAACACTGATTACTCAAAAAGTGGGTCAGCAGCAGCCAAAAATGAGCATTAAAACCATGATTAGATCTATTTCACTGGGACAGAAGTAGGTTAATGTTTCAGCACAACCCATTAGAAGCACAATGATGCAACTAATCTTAATTCATCTCATATTAACATGGGTGTATACACCTATGAAAACCCACTTTGTCTAAACTGATAAAGGATTTTTTAAGAATCTTAAATTAAAATAAATTAAGCAGAAAAGCATGAATTATTATACTGAGCATATGCATGAAATGTCACTGTGCCAGCATTGCTTTTGCTAAAATGGCATTGCTGACAAGTTAGCAGTCAGAAAAGATAAGACTTTAAACCTAAAGGTAATTTTTTTTTTGCCAGACATTGCTTAGAAAACGAGATATATTGAATTTAATCTAGCTTATTTGATTGATAATTCAGCACCAAATGACTTTGCATGAGCACAAAACCAAAATAAATCAATAAAAATTCAAAGCCATACATATGTAGCTTTGAAGAATATTATTAAAAAGGTGCAAAATTAACACATTCAGTAACACAGACAGCTAATGAGCACTCTTCTACAGCAATCCCAAGAAAAATTTTATCATTCTTGTGCCTAAAAGACAATAAATACAATCAGAAAAAGCAAATGAAATAGTTACTTACTAGAATCCCACTTCTCTTCTCTTCAGTGCAGCATTTGTCCAAAGCACAATATTCATGCAGAGACAGTGTGAAAGTTGGAAGGAAGAGCTCTGGCATTTATCACTGAGGACTGATTGTTCTTTGTGTTGGTGGGTGGATGATTCCCTGCGCATGTGTGTGTGTCTGTGTGAGCGAGTGTGTTGGAAAGGCCTCCTCCTTGTTTGGCTGAGCTCTGTGATTCATATATATAATTATGCTCCACTTTAATTTCCTAATCTACATCATTCCAGTTCACTGCCCTGCTTACTATTACAATAAACCACACAGTCTCTGACCTGGATTTCACTTTGACCCTGAACACATATGCTGGAGCTTCTCTGCTTAGAGGAAATAATTACAAAAAAAATGAAAGAAATACTGAAACATACTCTATTTTTTATTTCTTGTTTTTTTTTTTTTTTTTTTAAATACCGTGACCTTACATGTTGATGATAGGAGTTCTGGTGAAATGTTTGTGTGCTTCCTACCTGGGAGTGGGAGGTGTGGGTGGCCTCCCCCCACCAGGTGACCCTCATGCAGACACATGAATCATGGTGAAGTACAGCCTGCTGGAGGAGATGCTGGAGGAGACGCTCCCACGTTGCTGGCAGAGATTCAAACTCTGCAGCAGTAGCAGCAGAACCGCCTCATCTTCCTGGTTGGCTGACCAGAAATAAAGAAGCACCAATAAAATGAGACTTTACTAGTTCAGGCTTGATTGACTGCCCATGTGTTTCACTTGGCTGTCCAGCGTGATGGAAGTTGTTTCTGGTTATGTAACACGGGGAAGTTTAGTATTTAATGTAATTGCAGCTCTTTTCCTCAATTATAGTGGCCTTATTATCTTTACATAACACTGAAATCATTTTACATGTGGGAGGGAATCAAAAGAAGTGGTTTTGAGGTAGTCTGAAAATATTTCAATAGTAAAAAAAAAAGCCTGCTTGTATTGTAGTTTCCTTAAAACTTGTATATACATACGCAGATTTTTTAGATTTTTGTTTACTGTTTACATGAGAGTCTCATGGAGGTTAATCATTAATTTGAACAGAAAATAATAAAACTGAAATATGTGAAAGTGGCTTTTGAGGGAAGATGTCCCCCCAATGAAATCGATTCTAAACGAATTGACAATAGTCAAACCATTTTTCTTTTGAAAAATCTGAAATTATTTCTGTATGTTTTTTTTTTTTTTTGTTAAATCAGAGCAACAGCAAATTTTGAAAATAAAGTTAATCTTATCTTAATTGCTCTCTTATATACTCACACACACACACACACACACATATATATAGATAGACACACTATCTGATCTGAAGTCAGTACAGGACATCACAAAAACAAAGATCTGGAAACCAATTCTTGAAACAGAAAAATAGATAAATTGTTAGAGTGTCGTTTATGTATTTATACAAATAGAAACCTTTTCAATTCAGATTTGTTTACATAGCTCAAAATCACATATTTACCCTAATGCAAACTTCCAAAACATCACACAGGCCAGGCTCTAAGAGCTGCTTATAATTTATATGATTTATTGAAATGGAGATAAACTGAGATATAGGAAGAAATAGACGCATCTGACAAGATAGGAAAGATCCAACACTCAAGAACAACTAAATTTACAAAAGGAGGCTCCTGCAGATGACGGTACAACTCAGCTGCTCTTTTTCTAACCTTCATACAACACAAAAGACAACCCAACAGCTGTATTCCTGGAAACTGGTTGGAGAGTTCTTGTTCGTGGGTAAAAGTCGTTAGTCTGGTTGAGTCATTTAGTCACCGCTGCTACCGTAACCATGCGTGAGGTGTCACATGACTAAAGACAGAGATGTTCACACCACAGACTTTAACTTCTGACATTTTGGTATGCAGATTTATTGTTTTGCCAATAATTAGAACTAACCTGACATCTAAGAACTGCCTCCAGCTGAGGAGTTTGCCCAAAGAGGTAGAACAATGTCTGAGATGCCTGACATAGCAGAAATAGTTCAAGTGGGAGGTTTCAAATGCAACTCTGCACCTTTTACTGGGACAATGCACGACCGTCGTTGGTTTTCGTGTAATTCAACCTTGAATAAAAGCTGGACTCTCGGTACACTGCAGGCTAAGTTGCATGACGCCTGTAAGATGAAACCCACAAAGTCACAATGGGTCAGTACAAAGACAAGTGATCAGGTTTTCCCAGTATTATACAGCTTTATGTTGTAAAAGGAAAAAAGAAAAGAAATAAATGCTTGGTTTTTAAAAAAAAAAATTTTATTGGTCTCCCATGAGACAGAGGGGGAAATAAGAACAGTAAATAACAGGCAGAGAAACGAGTGTTGGTGCAACATCTGACAAAGAACATCACTGTTGTCAAAACAAACACACCTATACAGTAAGATACAAACGCATCAACTCGTGAATATCAGCTAAGAAATGTCAACTTGTGCTCATCTTTCAACATGTCGAAAAATATGTTTCCATTTGTGTTTTCAGCCAACAATGTACTAAGATTCTTTGTAGCAGCTGCTAAAACACATAACACAAATAATTGTTGAAGTAAAACTTAACTGCAATGGGAAATCTTGGAGGGGGGTCTTTTATAGTCACTTTGCCATCACCTTGCTGTGCAATAAGCCCATTTTAGAGTCAGTTTTTGGTTCAGAGCATTTATTTTTCCATCACTCTTGACACTGCCGGATCAGAACTTGCCCTTCTACTTTTTCCACGGCTTCCTCTTAGAGTTGGCTTTAACGATCAGCTCAGACTGACATTTCAGAGCCTCACGTGAGATGATGTTAGCCTCGCTCTCTCCGCTCTTGTCCTCTGCAACACGAAGAACGAAATAAAGTCAGATTTACATCGTTTACATGTATTACTGTGTATTACTGCTAACTCGTCATCAGTGGAAAGGTCCACTGCTTCATCCTCCGTTAGTTGGACTCAGGTGCTCTACTTTGGCTGTTTCTCTTCGATCCAGACAGTGAACTGCTCAGTGGAACATAAAGTCACACAGAGAAAAACAGTGAATGACTCCCACCAGAATAACATGTATTTTCTGCTTTAGTCAATGCACTTTCCATGATGTCTGACTTTATGTTGGTCTGTTTATGATTTTTGGGTCTTATGGTAGTTTTGTTGTTTGTTTTTTAAAATGAATGTACTATTTCTTATTCACATGGAAATCAAATTAGTTTAGGCAACTTCAGAAATATCATACAAGTGACTGACCCTGTAATTATCTATAGATATTCTTTTTGTCTATTTTATGTGATCCTAAATGGTCATGTGCATAAGCCAAGAGTAAACACTGAGTACTAAACTGATGTTCTAGTCCTGTATCTAGTCATGCTAAGATGAATCCATTGATCTTTATCAAGCATCACATTAATCCTAATTGCAGAGCTAAAGACGACCGCCAAGCAAATTCCAACAATATTTGCCAAGCAAACAAGGCTGCACTGATTTTCAAATTATCAGCTCAGAGTTACGTCAGCGAGAAAGATTACATTTTCCAAAAATGGAGCTGAGAGTAAAATCAATGTCATCAGTGAATGTCAGGTGAAGTGTTGCATGCTTTCTGCGGTACACTCTGTATCCCATTTTCTCAAACAGAGAGAGGACTGTTGAGCGTTAGTAATCAAGAACAAACACTTCAGGTGGCTCTAATGGCTGCCTTTCCATTCAGATAAGCTGAACAAGCACAGCAGTGTTCATGTGTACTCGCTGGGCCACGCTGTGTTCACGTTCGCGTTGTGTAATATAGGTTTAAAAAAAGAGTTCAAGTTCAAGCTGACACAATCTCCTCAAAGCCATTAGTTTTCAAAATTGTTCTATTTGAAAATGTGTGTTTTTTATTTTTTTTTTTTAGGTTATTTTTTTGGCCTTTTGGCCTTTATTTGATGCAGTGCAGTGAGAGAGAGACAAGAAAATGGGGGAGAAGAATGGGTTGAGGACGTGTGGGAAAGGGCCATGAGCGTTATTCGAACTCATGACCTCCACATTGGGGATTGTAGCCCGTGTACATGGGACACCAGCTCAACCAGGTGAGCTATAGCGGCACCTGAAAATGTCTTATTTTCAATTTCTTTCACAATGTTTATAACACCTTTCCTGCCATCAGTTAGCAGTGCTGATCACGTGACCTTCAACAGGCATCTCATCAAAAACAGCTCTTTACACGTGACATACCACTGACGGGCCAGCATTCTCTGTTAATTGGGGATGCCACATACAGTGTTATTCATCTAATTGCCTGCCATGCCCTTTTCACACCTATAATTACCGGTACAAAAATCGTCTGCACAAGTTTGAGGATTACCTCTGCCAGTACAAATATGTTTTGCATATTCTATCGAGACCAAGAACCTGTATTTCAAGCTTCCGTGATGCCTGCTGAGAATTTGCTTTGTCTCACCTCCTCTTCCTCCTTCTTAAAAGCAGCCAGATCCTTTCCTTTAAGCTCCTGTTGCAGCATCTGTAATTTCAGCTCCAACTGGGTCATCAGCTCCACCACATACATATCAGTCTGGATGCACTTCAGCAACTGTGTCTGCACTCTGGAACAGGAATAGAAAACATTTTCAGGGAAAGAATGGTGTACTGAAGGGTTAAAGACAACTGATCAATTTTAGGAATATGAAAGACTATAGTTGTGGTCATTTTGTTGTTGTTTTTTTTACCACTGTGATGTGTCGCAGTTTGTCTGTCAGGTGCTCAAGTGTGGGTCGGGCAGTGCTGAAGGCTTTAACAAACCCATGTAGGTGCTCTTTGCCTGCATTACACCTCTGCTGCAGAGCCTGTAGTAGCTGCTCACACTCTTCCAAAATCTGCTTATGACTAATAAAACCACACAGAAAGAGGAGAGGCTTGAGAATAAGTATTGCACAGCTGCACTCACAAATAGCACTGGGACCATCTGATAACCATTCAGGCCAACAAAAGGTGGCTCAACCAGTGTCAGCCCGACCTCCTCTCAGCTAGAACTGGATGGGCGTTGGATGCTGCCCAACTTCATGACTTGGTGCAGCAGCAATGGAAGTAAATTCATTGATATCAGCCTTTAAGCATCATTTAAGAGAAAGAGGAAGCAGTGGAAAGAAACGAGAGAGAAACAGAAAGTTCTCACACATTCAAGAAAGTGGGAGCCCGCATATGGATAGAGAAGTCAAACTGAACTTATTATTCAGAGTAATTTACTGTAATTCTAAGGTTTATCACTGACGTGTATTTAACTACATTACAGACTGGAGAATCTGGTAAATGAGTGGGTTGCATTTGGGTCTCACCTGGAGAATTTAACCCACCCTGAATATTTTATATTTTCAAACTCTTGGATCAAAAGCTCCTTCTGCTGCTTCAGCTGCACCTGGAGCTCCTCGTTCTCCCCCTTCAGCTTCTCCAGATGCTGACGTGTCCCCCCCCTAAGAAGTAACGGGATCCACTATCTCCTATGAACACAACAGACAAAAAGTCTATCAGCAACCACATGAAAACATAGAGCTCTTCTCCAATCACACAGAGCAGATCTATTATATCCTTTCTTTCCAGACCCATATCTGTGAATCTGTGACCTTGGTGGCCTCCTTGTTACATCTGAAGGCCTCTTGTTTCTCGCTCTACAAAATGGCTTTGTTTTGAATCACATCATATTTTTTCCCAAAGATCAGACAATACTGAGGGTGTTTTAGACCCTTCTGTGATTGTTGTACTTTAAGTCATTTAGATTTTTATGGCCGGTAAGAGTGCTTAAGCTGGATTTATGGTCTATCCAAACTGATGTCTTCCTACAGCTTTCGGATAAAGTTTGTCCACGTGGACCATCACCTGTAACTTTCCAGATCTACTTCATGCATTTTTTTTATTTGTTGCTCAACTGTTTATGAAACTTTCCACGTGTACAACCCTTTGCAACAATATCAATGTCTCCCTGAGGGGGATTGTCTGAAAATATGATCCATTATCCCAGTTTTTAAACAATGTCGCCTCTCCCCTGTCCCTCCCCCTCTGCTTCTCTCTGTGACAGCTGACATTTTACTTTATCTTCAGATGTGCCTGTTCAGAATGAATATATAAGGCACATTTGATTTTAGAGATGGCTGACAATATGTTTGGAAAAAATATTTATCTGACCCGTCTGTCGACTTTTTCAGCCTGGGCTTTGAGCTCCTCAGCCTTTTTCGTGAGACACTCTCTCTCCTCACGCTCCTTGAAGAGCAATTCCTCCAGCTGCTGTAACTTAGCCTGCAACAAAGAAGAAAGAGCAGGAGTGATGGAAGAGCAGTAAAGGAAACAAGGGAAGAAACGAAGAAAACAGTGAGACAAACAAAGTGCTAGTATGACAGCACTGCCGTATTGCTTATAAATTTAAAAGAGAAACATTTTTATTAACATCAGAGTCAGGTGTGGACAGGCATGGCACCCTCATTCACAATGGTCTTGAAAAAAAAGAAAAAGAGGGCCGAAAATAAGATTGTTTTGTGAAAACAGTATGTTTTCACAATGTACAGTGAAGAGATCAGGTTGCGGAACACTTACAGCCCATGTAGCTACTGTACTTGTGACCCAGATAATTTCTAAGACAGTAATTTCTAAATGACAGTAATGGTGACTCAGTGATCCTTCTTACAAACTACAAACATGCATGTTGCAAACTCATAGCAGAGAAGGTTGCCGATAAACTCAGCAGCTTTTTTGGAGAGCTGGGCGTCATCATTCATGACCTGCAACTTCTGAAGCTCCTGTCTGTGCTTCAGGTTTTCTGCTTCCAGAATGTCCAACTGGCCCTCAAAAGTCAGACTTTCATCCTGAAGTGATGAAGGTGGAAAAGCAAGAGAACAGGAGACATGGATTGATAAAGTGAAAAAGGAGGCAAATGTGAATTACTTGACTGAGATCTAGAAATTAAAGCCAAAGCTACATATGATACAAACACACCGGCCACTTCATCAGGTACACCTGTCCACCCCATCACCTTATATGAGGTAAACAGGTAAAAGTTTAGGAAATTTTAAATGTAATGCAGTCTAGTATACCACAACAATTCACTGTGATCTAATTAGAAAGTACAGAAAGTAGCATTATCTTTTTTTGACAACGTCAACAAAAACTGAACGTGTAGATGCTTCGTAGAAGTACAAAGTATGAGATAGATGTTGTATTGGATTGCATTAAAAAAAAAAAAGTGAGCTTTTACAAGATTGAATTTCCCTTCTGGGATAAATAATGTATTTTTCATTTAATTTCATTTCATTACATTTTCCAGCTGTACCTAATAAAGTGATCTGATAGTATATATGCAATAGCACAACAGCCACATTTTTAAATGAGAAACTTCAATGGTATATTCTGTACAATTATTAGCAAATCAGAACCAGTGTCTGTTACTATTTATGGTTGGCATTTAATCAGAATTATCATTTGAATGTTTTTAGATCCCATTTAAACGTGGTAGTTTTCATTGTTAGCTGTAAAATCTGTGCTGCCTGCCCTGGATTCAAAATGCCTACCGACAACATGAGTTTGTTTGATTGCCACTGTAAACTGTTGCCACTGGCTACAAAACAATGGCAACCAAACTGAGAAGAAAAAAAACGGTCTTCTGATGTATTTCTGACAAAGTGGCTGCTCAAGGAGTGTTGGCAGTATTTATTTACTGCACTTGATACTATGGTGACCATGAGTGTCCTCAAATCAACCAGGGTAAAATAAATAAATACAATAGACAATAACTTGAAGTGATTTGAGGGTGACTGCAGATTGAATGTCCACAACAAAGGATATTTATCAAATAAAGCTACGTGCAAAGACAGGTAAAGGGAAGCACTGTACCACTGTGGCTGTCTCTCTTGATGTTTACATACCACAAACACAGAGTTCCATATCAAAGGCACAACAATGTGTCATTGCACAGGCCTTTACATTGCAGTATGCTACAAAGAGTATTTGACAGACTGATCAAACACAAGTGCTTTCACTCTAATGCAATTTCCAACCGAGGGCTACTTTGCAGTTACTAAACTATACCTGCAGGCTGCAGTGAACAAAGCTACACCATAGAGCCAACAAATAATCCAGTAAAGTCTCCAGCAAATGAAGATGAGTTTTATGTGGAATAAAGCATTATTTTAAGGTTGAAAAGCAAAAACGTGCATGCTGAACTCACCTGCAAGTGACTTTTGAGTTTTAAATAGTTACTTGTAATGTTCGTAGCCTCTTTGAACTGGGTTTTCTCCAGACTGTTCTCTAGCACCAACAGATCCTGAAGACACATACATACACAAATCATTCCTTCCAGTATTTTTATTTATTTATTTATTTTTACCTCTGTGTGTTCTTGTCGTTCAGTGCACTGTAAAAACATTACCTCCAATTCCCAAAGAAATGATAGATAGAAGATAAGACAAAAGATACCATGGCATCTTCTTCTTCCTTGCGAGTGCGAATATCAGCAGATGCTGCCCCACCATTGCCCTCAGATTTCAGTCTCTGGTACTTCATATTCACCTGGTTGGTCACTGGTTGGTCTAGATGGTGGCTTTCAGAGCATTCAGACGCTTCCTCTTGGACAGCACCCTGCGTTCTAACATTGTGGCAGCCACCTGAGAAAGACAGTGTTTTTGAGCAAATAACTCTGCAGGAATTGGAAAGAACTGTATATATACTTGTACATACTGCTAGTAATCTTAAATTATCACAACTGACACTTAAATAGTTAGAACAGGGTGTTGACTAATATCTGTGAACACTTTTCATGATAAATATTTGTTTTGTTTTTTTTAATAGCAAAACTAGCTGAGGTGTGCATATTCATTTCCTCTCACCTTTGCTGACATGTTGTGGTAGGCATTCTTCTCCAAGCCTCTGTTAGTGAAAGGCCACTTTAATGATTTGTTCCTCACCCTAAAGGGAAAAAGACAAAAAATAACAAAACTGCAAACTTTTGCAGATCCAAAACCTGAACCCTAATCCTAATTACATGCCTATTATCATTTTAATTCCAAAAACCTTGCTCTTTTAGATAAAGAGTCAATTACCCTGTTGTCCCTATCTATGTCTACTTCTGTATCAACAGAATATACACAATGTGCACTAAACTTTTGGTTCTTTAAGCATGCTCTTTTACACATATCTAGAGCTGTACATGGTAGCTGGGTCACTTATTTTCCTTCTTCAACTTGTTGCCCTTGTGAAAAAACATTAATGGGTGTTTTGTGAATGTGTACACGTTTGGCCAGTAAAGTTAATTCTGAAGAAAGGAAGTTGTTGCTATGATTGAGCTTATTAATGACGACAACAACAAAAAAAGCAGAGAGAATCAAAATAACCTAATTTTAAAAACAGAGTCCACTTGACTTCTGCCAGTCTTCTGTTGTTCACCTGCCTCACCTGGCGGATGGATGGACAGTGTGTTCTTCTTCATGGCAGACTGGGAGTTCTCATAGTATGCAGTTCTTTCGCCCCCTAGCTGACATATTTAATCATCACATCAAGAATATGTAGAAATGGTCGAAAATGACAGCCTGTATGTAGCTGCCTTTTCTGTTGGATTTGGTTATGTCCACTAAAAAACCAGTTAATCACGAATCAAACTTACCCAGTTGTTGGATTTTACGCTTAAGCTCCGTTATTTGCTCGTGTAGCGGAGGTTTAATCAAGTCAGCACTGAATGGCATTTTTATGTTGTGCTGTTTCTATATACAATTAGCGAAGGACCAACACATGTACAATCTGTTTTAGCTTTGACCAAACCGACGACCTCTGGCAGAGAACAGAGTTGCAACATGTATGCAAAAATCAAATCAAGTCAAAAGATAAGTCTCAACAGATGCGAGCTTTGTCAGTTTTATTGAAAAATGTCATATTAAGCTAAATTAAAGCTGTAAATTAGCAACAAGGCTACTTCACATACATGTTACCAACAAATTATAATGTTAAAACTATTATGTTACAGACCTATAAAAATAATACAACACAAACATAAATTGTAAACTCTGAAGGCTACCAGGTTTTGCTCTTGTTCTACTATATATATTTACCACATCATGTTTTCATATCACTGCACATAAAACATGTTTTTTTAAGTTTAGAAATTGTAGATGCACAATTCAGATTTTAAAAATATCTAATGCTCGTATATTTCATATATTACTTACCTGCCATTTTTATAATAAAAAACTTTAAAAATGCTATTTCCCCCATTGTATACTGATATGGCAACATAATGTTTTATTAGTTTCCAACAAAAAAAAAGGCAATGACACACTTCTACAAACTCAAAATTTGCACAATAGCAAAGATCACATTTTATAGTCTGTGGAGCATATGTAAAAAATGAAAGCTATTTTTTAAAAAGACATGTTAATCCAGGTTAAAATGCTTGGGTCATTTGTAATCTCTTAAGGCTTTGGTTGTCATACTAAGCTGTTAATCTCCAAACTTTGCTTTGGTGAGTTAATTTCCATCAGTGCAATATGCTTAGTTAAACTGATAAAGCACAGTCTAACTCCATCGGCCCTAAACTGGACCTTTGAAAGCTTCCACACAAGACTGTGCGACATAATACAATCAAGAAAATACCAAAATATACAATTAAAAAGAAAGCATTAAGGCAATATGTTGCTTAAATTAACTACATTTATCATCTGTAACTTAATCTCCCGTATTCCTTCTGTGATAAAAATCACCCCTGTTGGGTGCGACAGTCGATGAGTTTGTTCAAAATACAAAAGGATCAGTAATATCATACGGACAACATAAATGAATCCCATTTGACAGCAAGGCGCAAACACTGTGCATTAGAAAAAAAATGGCACTGGCATTCCTCTTTCTGTTCTTTTCAATTGAAAAAGACCACACACACACACACACACACACACACACACATAGATACATATATATACTGTACACACATTAACTGTTTACAGATGTTAGTCCACAGATTTGGACTCTTCGTTGGACTTCTTAAGGAGGCTGAGCAGACTCTGTGACATGAAATATGGCCGCTCTGCTGATCCGTCGTTGCGCTCCAGGTCCTCCACTGTGACACGGACAGAGAGAGGAACAACATTTTCACAAGGGCATACAAACACTAAACTGTAATTTAACCTGCTTGTATCATCTGCTGTAATCACATTTATCTGTCAGCTTATTAAGAACTAAAGCGGTACTTTTAGTGCTGCGCTGGAGCCTGGAGGCTGGGACTTCTAAAAGAGTCCCAAGAAAAATTTCTAGAAATGATGAAAGGGATTTTTAAAAAATGGGGGATGCTTTATTTTGGTTACAAAGAATTGTTTATTATGTAAGTTCATAAATATATTTTTTGCACATAACAAGTGATTAGGGTTCACAAGTATACACATCTATTCATTTTAACGGTCCACCAGCCAAAAATGGGGAAAAATTTGGAAACAAATGCTCCAAATCAAGCAAAAAAAAAGGAGACAGATTTTTGTCTCTCACATGGATCAAGTCACAAAAACCTGCAATCTTTATAAATAAATGCCCATGTTTCTGATCTCCAGGCTCCTCTTTAAAATGTGTAGTCATCAGATGCAGCCTTAAATATACTGAGCAGCCCTCTGTGTGATAAATAAATTGATTTTGACACGTAAAACTGTTGGAGTAGCACCCTTTAAAGACAAAATCAAAGTCTTGGCTGGCTTTGACATTAAAACTCACCTGCTTCCAAACACCGAACAACCTCGAGAATCTTGTGTTTTCCCATAACAGAACTACCATGTTTAAATACAATCACCTTTAATCAAGATTTACATCCAATAACCATGGAATGTCATCAGTAAATTTCAGTGGAAAAAATTTAACTTACATCTTTCACAAGGTGGCAAACAAGAGATAAAAGGTACAAAAGCATCCAGAGATTTAAGATGTTAGTTGCGAGCATTCAGAAAGGCCATGTCAATACCATGCAGCACTTAAGAAAGAGAGACAGACCGAGGGGAGGGACAGAGCAAGGCAGGTGGACTCAGTAAACAGGTGAGGGAGGGGAGAATCCGTAGAATCCGAGAGGTCATGATGGTTGCATCATGGCGACACAATCACAGCAATTACGCCAGTCCGGAATACCAAGGCAAGTAGGTGGCAATACAATATACGGGATCCTGTCTTGGCGAGGATCTCTAGTAGACTGAAGCCAAAAAATACATAACAGACGTACACTACTGTATATACACGAGTTCCATAGGAAAAAAAGAAAGACCCAATATTCACACAGTATATTAAATATGTCTGTAACATTTTGGCGTCAGCTGGTATTATTGTAAACAGTGAAAGAGATTCACCGTTGGTTGAGATGCGTTTGTTTCCGACTGTAAACACGGTACTTAAGTGGTTCTGTAGTGCATTCAAGATTAAGACAACAAATATCAGTGACAGTAATCAGGCACAGGTTCAGCACTCACAAAGTTCTACAGATCTTCACAATATAAAAACCAACACTGTTCTAAAACCAACACAAGAGCGTTTTTCTTTTTCTTTTTTTCAAGCTACAGAGATGCACTGGGCTTTTAAACCTGCTTCGACCTTCACAACCGTCTCCACACGGACGTCACTCCACTCACATAGCAAGGCGATCAGAAATTTTAGCATGTTTTATGCCGTACATTGAACAGGTCCATATCACAACGTTGCACATCTTTCATTGTTTAAGCTTCATGAGGGGCCTCAGTTGTTTTGCATCGTCTACTCCTTTGGTGCAGCCGGAGGATTATCTTCTTTAAGCTCCTCTTTTTCCTCGTTCTTTTCACCAGGCTCCTGTTTCTCAGCCTCCACAGCTGCAACCTCCTCAGTCTTCTCTTCTGTTTTCGACTCCTGCTGTTCTGCCACTTCTGTAATCACTGGCTCTTCCTTCTTTTCGGTCTCCTCTGCTGGACTGACTTTTTGCTCCTCCTTCTTCTCCTCCTCGTTTGGCTCTTCTTCGGCGTCCATCTTGGACTGCAGAGGCTGCTCCTCCTCATTGTCCTGCTTGAGCATCGTCTGCTGTTTCAGCTGTATCTCTCCGTCCTGCTGCTGAAGAGGCGTCTCCTCCTCCAGCTTCACCTCGTCCACTTGTTTAGCAGCGTCCACCTCCTCAACGCCATCGCGATCTTCCTCCACATGCTTTGTTTTGGAGAGGATCTCGTGCAGCTCGGGAGACATGAAGTAAGGTCTCTCTGAGGACCCGTCGTTTCTTTCCAAGTCCTCACCTTTTTGAGCATGATGGTGTGCCATGTTTTTGATTTGGTTAATGGAAAATTAGGGAAAAATGAAAACATAAAAGAATGGAATGTTTGAAAATAAAAGTAAAGTGAAATTAATGGGAGACAAAGAGAAGAAGAAGAGTCAGAAACACAGCAGGAAGAAGAAGAAACCAGCAGCTCAGTTTCAGACAGTTGTATGAGTGCTTGTAAACAGGAAGGAGAGAGGCGATCTGGCCATTAACCACATGAAGAATTACTCACAGAAGCAGAGGAACAGTGTGTCCACACACATGGCGTACACGCTGAAGAAGCCATGGGCGATGAGGTAGGATCCCACTACCACTGTCTAAGAGGACAGAAGCATATGTGTTATCAAATGCCCACAGCTGAGTGGAAAACCAGGGAACAAATCACACAAATATACGTGTTCTCACCAGTATTGGCACCCAGTAGTAGTTAAGAGACGGAGCAGCCTCCTCTACAGCTTTTATTCTTCCAGAGAAGAAGAAGAAAGAGAAAATCCCTATGGCGAGAAAAAAAACGTGAATTACTGGATTTAAACTAGAAAGCTAAACAGATCTCTTCCCAGTGTTCAGATCTATAAATAAAACACTCCCTTACCCACAATGCCAACAATGAGGAGCTTCCCAAGAAACAGCAGGAAGTCAGTCACTTTGTCTAAAACGGCCACCCTGTGTTTAAATGAGGACAGCGCAGAGCATAAGAAAATATCACATTAAAATAGGCCAAGAACTGCTTCAACTGCATACTGGCTATAAATGTCAGTATGTTATTGTAATAAGACAAAAAGGGTAAAAGTCTTCAAACATCACTTTAGAGCGAAATCTCACCTGACAATGTTTCTCATGAGAAGGAAGAAGGCATCTCGAGCTGAGGTACAGAAACTTTTTCCATAGATTGCAATCTAAAGAATAAAAATAACAACACAGATGAAAAATTCAAAAGCCCAAAGCGGAGAACATCTTTCTTTCAGTCGTATCTGGTTACGACAACTCACCATGATGTAGGCATTTCTGTTCAGGAACTTGATACATTTCTCCAGACACCAAAAGCAGCACTTCATGCATTTTAGCAGGCATTTGGCAAACTTGTTCTGAGCACCTGAAGGACAGACGCAAGAACAAATACATAAAGAAGACGCAGGAATATTGTTAAGACAGAATGGTGCGTTTACAATCACAGAATAATATGATGACTGACTACGTTCAGGTCGAACCTTGGTCGAAGATACATGAGATCAATTTAACTTTATTGTCATTGCACTGAATTCAAATACTAAGACAATGAAATGCAGTTTAGCATCTAACCGGAAATGAAAAATACTTACAAAAATCTACAACACATCTCAGTATAACAAAATGAACAGTATGGACAGAGTGCTATAACCACACGAATACATAAACATACAGACGTGGATACGATATGAAGTAGAGCATCTAAATCTACAGGTAGAGATAAATAGTGGTATGAACTGTATGAACAGTATAAACTGTATGTATACAGTATGAACAGTGTAAAAAGCATTAATGCTATCAGACAGATGACGTATATATACAGACTGAACAGTATGATAGGATAGGAGCTGCACTTTTGATGACCTCAGTGTCCCCTGGTGCTATAAATTAATCAGAAAGGGTATGTTTGTGTATCTGCTGCACAAAGGCAAAACGGTGTGAAAAAAATGGATTAAATGATGTGTGGGCTAGGGGAGAAGTATGAAACGACTGGAGCTGTAACACAGTGCAAACTAGACAACGTAGGTGGAATGTAATGAAATAAATAGATAAATAAATGTTGAAACCAACAATACTAGTAATACTGTATAAGGTCGGTTACTGTAAAGAATTAAATATTAGCATGTCCATTCTAGGCAGCTACTTTTATGATTGCATAAATTACTCTAAAATCAGGATTCATGAAGATCCAGTAAAACAACAAAATAACAATAACCATAATCCCTGTTAAATGCATGACTATGATGAAGTAACACAGCCACTATAATTCGCTCTAATGTGAAGTCATCTTGTAATCCAGATACTCCACCTTTCAACTTGTGATCCAGGTACTCCAGAATCACCCTGATGACCTGGACCAAAGACAGGATCAGAGAACCAAAAGCCAGAGAGCCTGCGTGGTACCTATACAGGAGGAGAAAACAGGTCAACTGTCAGCATCATAGACTCCTTTCTCTTCCACACGGGCATCGTAACCCACCCACCGACCACAACATATGCCTTATTTGGCATGAATAACCTTTTTCCTTTAAAATCCTGCCAGCTTTATGCATCTCTTCTTGCCAAGTATAAACCAATCAAGCTGCACTAAACTGCATCACCTACTGATTTTAATTATAAATTACGGAACAGAACACCCCATTCAGTGTAAAATGAGCTTCAATTAGGCACATTTAAAACCAGATATGCTTCAAAAACTCTTTTCCAACCTGAGCGCCCGACCCAGAGAGGAGAAGATGGGGTAGGCAGGGATGTCGTCGGGCTTCTTGAAAGCCCAGTAGTACGAGGCAAAGGCCCCCGACAGAGTGACTTGGCCCAGCGCCGTGACAAAGTTGGCACACCAGAAGAAAAGGAAGACGTTGTAGAACTGGAACAGAATGAGGTATCTGTGGTAGACAGTCTCACCACCGTAGAAGGCAAACAGGCACTCTGCATCGGGACACTGAGCTGACGCATTGGAGGTGTTGAATGTCTGGAGAGAGAGCAGGAGGAAAGCAGCAGCTGTGAGATTACTGGAAAGATTTTTCACACATTGATCTGAGGCGCTGTCCAAGTACAAAAGCAACACAATCTGACTGCGAGTAATCAAAAATTTGCCCAATGCTTTTTTTTTGGCTGACTTTTCTAAAATTTCCTCACTTGAAACACATGCTTCGCAAGTAAATTTAATGTGCCGGTGACATTTGGAGGCGTACCTGGGGGTCGCAGGTGTCTCGTGAGAACGGACACTCAGAGTTGTTGAACACTTTGTACACCTGCTCATTAGACGTGGACAAGAAGCTGGTCACAGCTGTCAAGGAGGCAACAAGTAGAGCAAATCTCTGGAAAGGTTACAGAGAGGGAATATCTCCAAAGAGACACATTTATGCTCTGACTCGCTGATCATCACGAACAAGTGAAAGGATACACAGCAGTAATAGCCCAGTAAGCGATCACCACAGCCAGGAGGGCAAAGGTCAGCAGCGGGTAGAACAGCGACGACATGACATGGCCGACAGCTCTGTCAGTGAAAACAGAAATCGAAAAAATAAATCAACAATTCAGATATAATATTCTCCAGAAGGTGGAGGTAAGGCTAAAAGCTAAAGATTTCCTCCCAGTGTAATGAAAACAATCAAATTATTGCTGTTTTTCCATCTTTTGGGACCAAAAAAATAAAATACAAATGCAGCATTTCCATATTATTACCTTATGTTAAAACTCTTTGGCACATAGTTGCCTTTATACACATCCAGCAGATGCTGGATGCCCAGAAGATAAGGAAACAATAGACATGCATCTGCATAACTTTTAACCCGTTTGCATTGGCAGGGGGAGGATAAATAATTTTCCAGGATAACTTAACGGTTTCCAGGACATCTGAACTTTTTTCTCATTTTCCATATGTTTTCCATGACTGGAAAATTGCTCAAACATTTTCCAGGTTTTCTAGGTTTTCCAGGACGCATGGGAACCATGGATGAGCCTGTTTTTTTCACTTCTAGTAATATTTCCACCTCAACATAACTATTTCTAATCTACCTCTATAGTATGTTCTACAACTCAACAACTACCCTGCTGCCTCTTGTTTTTAACAGGACACCAATACCCAGCCAGTGTATATAAATGGCCATGTGATATGTGTTTTCATGTATATTACTATGCATTAAGATTATTTCCAAAAATAAAACTAGAACACCCGTCTGGAGGGAGATTGTTTTGAAAAGACAATGTTTTAGTGTGGAAACATAGTAGCTTTAACCTTAAACATGCTCCATTATGCTAAAGAGAACTGTGCAACTAAACCACAATACAGTTGCAAACCATTAAACCAAAACACTGAGCTGAATGTCTCTAAAATTCATCAATGATTGGAGAAAAACTGCAGAGTTGGGTAATAATTATCTGTGACTTCATCATGTCTAGTAACTCCTCACATTATTTGATCCATTGTTAATATAAAAATATTGAGGCGTGCAGCTTTAGAACATGTGAGCAGATCTTGCTACTTGTCTACTTCAGCCAAGAGAACCGAACAGAGAAAACCTGCACAAATCTGGGATGAATTCCCAGTTCAGACTGACCTGCTGGCCTCTTTGATGAGCGCGATGGCAATCAGGATCCTCTTCCTGAGGAATATGAGTAGCAGAATGATGATGACCTCCACAATGGCCAGGATGATCACTGCAAAACAGTAAACGCAGCATATTAACAGCATTTATCAACACTTTACATGGAGGGACGTATTACAGAATCAAAGTGTTCTTACTGAAGGCCAGCCAGGTCTGTCTGATCTGCAGGTAGACAGAGAAGTCGGTCTGCAGGCCGAGGTCACGGATGGTGACATCAGCACCAGGCTCTCCCTTCAGACTGGCAAACTCCATATAACAGTGGAAAATACCTAAAAACAGATAGGTTTATTAGTTTATTGACATTTTACTTAAAGCAGAACAAATTTACTTTTAAAGACTTACCATATCCAATGACGAGAATAACCAAAACAATCATGACCCAGACCATCACACCAGCCAGGAATCGCAGCAGGACGATGAAAATCAAGCTCACAACCATGGCTATCACCAGACCGCTGGAGAGAGAACACATAACTCATATTAGAGTGCTAAATCAGCAGGGTCATGCATACATTCTGGTTTCATATTGATCAATCAGTTGAGCACAGCAAACCCTCTGAACCCTAAATTCCATTTGCAGCTTTGAAAAGCATGTTACGTTTTAAAATTGCCAAAATTATGCCATTTATCTGAGACAGTTAGTCCTGTTAAAGCAGAAAAAAACCTTCAGATTTCAAACTTTCCGATAGTCCTTGAACTAATCATGTGTGATGCACAGTTCCATTAGCAAAATTAACCAAATCTGAGGTTAAAATCAAAATATTTCATTAATATTACTTAATTCTACACATCTCAAAAAATTGCCAACAATTAATTGTGTGCACTAATTAGACTCTTTTGCGCTTCTCTGCACAATCAAGAAGCCAGTTGTGACTCAGCTGTGACCAACATTAACATAGCATAAATTCATGGACTATATGACTGAACTGCAGGCTGTGTTTACACAAAGAAGACAGGAAACAATAATGAAAACAATTTTTTAAAATGTAGGTAGTAAAATATATGTAGTATGTAAAACCACCATTTTTTTTCCAGTATTTGAAAAATATTGTATATGTTGATTAGGTATTTATAACTTGTGCAAAACTATACTTAAAGAATTTCTACTTTTGTTTTTTTTTTCTTTCTTTTTTTTATGATATATGACATTATAATTGTTTCATACTGCACAGGAGACAACACTATTGAGTTCTTTCCACTTCTAGCCCTGGTGGTACTGTTTCCATTGAGGTGCTGGACTTTATATTGCAGTGCAAGATGAGGCCACAGGGAGTAAAAATGTGACAGGTGCGAAAAGGTTCAGATGCCTCAACACGCTTTTGTGAGTCTGTGTTGTATCCCTGGTGTTTAATTCAATACTTAATCTGGTAATGTAACAGTGAAGTACACTTACAGTAATATCCAGTGCCAAGACTGAGTGTAGTCCTCAAAGATTCTCATGGCCACCTGGCGAGCTTCTACAACCACATTTGACTTCCTGTAACAAAAGGAAATGGAGACATGCGTGTACAAAGTTAACGCTGTCGACATCTGCTATTGTAAGTACGGAACAAAATGATATCACACGAGTCAAACAGGGACCTATAACTAAAATAATTAAACAGAGGAGTGTGTGGGTAGACAGACTGAATGGGACCACTGGTGGCTAAACCATCGTTTTCATCATAAATTACTTGAATCAGTGCTTGTGCTGTAAATCATCTATATACTGAAGACTGTTGCAGCATCGCTCTACTGCCACTTGTTACAAGCTGCTTCTGTTAGTTTTGAACATCCTCAGACAAGAACCAATAAACCAAGAAGATAAGCATAACTGTTCACAGCAGAAATATTTCACATACATACATTTGCATAAATTCCCTTTTTCCAGTGTCAGCTAAGCATAATTACTCAGTAAAAAAAGAACAAGACCAAACTCTAATTTTTAATTCAAAACTTTAATAATTCACAAAAACTTTCTGCATGCCACACTGCAAATAAAAATGGATGCAATCTGCTGCAGAATACAACATATAAGGAAGTATCAAGTTCTTCATCTTGATAATAATACGCAGGGAGTTTTGTAAACTCCTGCACAAAGCTAATAAAAAGAAAACGCTGACATAAACACCCTTTCAGGTGCACACCAACGGAGCAGAACCAAAGCAGACCGAGGCTGTAACAAACCCACATCAGCATGTAGAATAAATACGAATGTAAAGTCTTTTATATAACCAAAATTACCGCAGTGAGATGTGCTGGTGTTTGTGCTGTATATGCTGTCAGCTGACAGGATGTAGCCTGATTCTGCAGGGCTGTATGTCAGGATTTTTTGAATGATTTAAGACAACCATTCACCTTTAAATTGCCTTTAGTCGCACCTACAGTCAACAGGTAATTCATTTAAAGTGATAAATTATGAAAAAAAGTAACTGATTACTTCCATCCATACATCCATCTATACACCGCTTAATCCTCACTAGGGTCGCGGGGGTGCTGGAGTCTATCCCAATCGACTTAGGGCGAAGGCAGGGGACACCCTGGACAGGTCACCAGTCTATCACAGGGCTACACTTAAAGACAGACAACCAAGCACACTCACATTCACACCTACTGACCATTTAGAATCACTAATTAACCTCAACATGTTTTTGGACTGTGTGGGAGGAAACCGGAGAACCCGGAGAGAACCCACGCTGCACGGGGAGAACATGCAAACTCCACGCAGAAAGATTCCAGTGTCCCCACCGGGAAGCGAACCGGCAACCTTCTTGCTGCGAGGCAACAGTGCTACCAACTGCGCCACCTTGCAGCCCAACTGATTACTTTCTTTTAGATAATTAACCAATGCAATAAACTAACATTGCTAAACAGATCTTTAATGACATGTTTGGTTTATCAAGCTAATTTCACACATTTTAAGTTTGTTGACGTTCAGGTTTGGGGGAAAGTGATATCATAACTATCACACAATGCTGACTGAGTCAAACAGCACCAAGTAAATATTTCTGTATTTTGCAGTATATTTTAGAGTTTGAAATCTAGTTTTGTGGCATCATTCCAGTGCACTTGTATTTTATGTCTACTAGCAACGATTGGTTTACCAGAGCTTAAGGGGCAAGCAAACATAGTGGCGGATACTAAAAGCGTCCAACAAACGTTTCTCCTGATTAAGAAGAAATTCAGCTGCCACAGAAAGGACCACAGCCAAAAAAAGAAAGTGATGGTTGTACATCATAAATACGCATTGATAGTGTTTTTGTACTTACTCTCATGGCCAGAAGGGGGAGACAAAAGTACCACAATTCAGATTTTATGTCGTTCGAGTTCATGTGTATGTTAAACAACAAAAAGGACTCACTTTGATGCCTCAAGCACCTCGGAGGCATTAATACTGACGCCCTGCCCAGCATCAAATGTGGTCTCGTTGCCGACAACCACTACCCCGCCTTTCATCGTTCCGAGGGCAGGAAGGCAGCGACGCGTGACTGCGGAGGGAGAAGTTTAATTTGTTACAGTGAGAACAGACACAGCAGCTTGTAATAAAAATTAAAAGAAGCTTTTCACTTACAGGCTTTACTGGGCATCAGCATCGCAGGACACAAGCCATCCCTTAGGATCTCAGGAGGACTCTACATCAAGCAAAACAGCCTTGAATGAAGGTTTCTGTCATACTGCACACTTCACAGAATACATTAAGCATGTATGATAAGTGAACATATTATATTATATTATATATTATTTAATGTTTACCAGTGTGGCAAAGTCCACTCCGTCCTTGCAGTATTTTTTGAAGTATTCTCGGTCCTCTTTGTTGCCTAACTTGGCTTTCACCAACGTGAGATGCCTGTCAGGACAGCTTTCCACACATAACTGGACACAAATTAGAACACATGGTCACAACAGTGAACTCGGCTGTTTGAATGTGCTGCAATAATCACCGACAGATGCAGGCACTGTTTCTGACCTGTGTGGTGGGACACTGGAACTCCAGCAGCACCAACGGACTGGCACATTTCAGGATGTTGAAGTAGAACAGAAGAGGTTTCTTCCTGTTGCGCGACAGTGACACAAAACTATAATTAGGCCTAAATTATGAAAACATGTCTGTGTTAAATACATATCATTATCTTGAATGTACAAAGGATAATCTGCATGTGAAAGATTGTTTTTGTCAGACGACTCACTCCAGAGGTGTCCCAGCTTGTCCACAGAACTGCCCCCTGCTGTCTGTGGGATAAATCACTTTTCTGGGGTCTCCCTGAGACCAGGCTGCACAGAGAAAAATAATTAAAAGTTTTACGTTGAACTCAAACTACATGTAGACACAAGCAAAGACATGTATATAAGATTTAGAGTCTGGGAAAGCAGATTGACAAAGTGTTGTTTCCTAAATATGCAAACAATTTCCAGCCTTGAGCGCAGTGTGGTACAGACCACAGTGACCTTCAGTGTATCAGAAATAAAATACGCTGCATAACTGTTCTCCAGTTTGTCCAACGTCTGCAGCTAGATTTCTTTCATCGGGGTGGTGTCTGTTTTATACAACCTGCTGATCAATCAGTTCAAATAAAGTAAAGGTTTCTATATAGTACATTAAAATAACATCAGTTTTACACCAAAAAGGTTATGATTGGGGTCATGAATTAACCTAACAAGGTTGATATTTGGATTAAGACTCTATAGTGTTCTTTATCGTGGGATTTACCTGAATAAATTCCATAATAAGGACTTCAAGGGCTTAACAAAATAAAATTGATTCAAATAATATTTAAAAAATCAAACACTATTGCAAAAATATCCATAAAAATTGTCCATTACAAAAGTAATAAATGAGACTGTTTAGTAAAAACTACATAAATGCAGGCCGAAAGAGACACATTTTACGGTTGTGTTTAGTGCTATCTACTGAATCAGATGCTCTGATGTCCCCTGGAAGGATTTTCAGAGCTGAGGGCTGATGACACAGAGCGTAACGTCTCCGTACATCTTAGTTCTACTCTGAGGAAGATTGAAGAGACCACAGTAAGAGGATCTCAGGGATCTAGAAAGGGCATATCTAATCAACAAATCAGATAAATACTCAGGAGCAAGTCCATTAAGAGATTTAAAAACTAAAAGCATAATAAGCCAATGAAGAGCTTTTACAACTGAAGTACATGCTGTCTCTGTTCTGCTGCATTTTCTGAAGATTTCTTTAAAAGGCCAGAAAACAGAGCGTTACAACAGTCAAATCTTTTGGCGTCTTCCTTAGACAGGAAAGGCTGCATGCGTGCAATATTTCTAAGATGCATTTCTCAAGTAGAAACTTTCAAAACAAGGAGGACAGGATTAGCCAGGATCTAATGACACTGTGTACTGTTTATACGACATGCAGGCGATACATGAATTGCTGAGCTCCATCACGGCTGTCAGGATGTTTACAAAAGTCTAAATATTTTTCTGTTAAATCAGTTTTTCACAGATTTTTCAGGTTCTCACAGTCTAACAGCAGGATTTACTTGCACCTGTAGCCTAATAATTGTGCTCATGGATGTTTCTATAACTGTAGAACGTGCTCATCAGTAAAGCAACAACCAAAACCAAGTTGCTTGTCGAATCTCAGTGTGTCTATAAATTAATGAGACTGCAGGTAGTTCAGACTTGTGAATTTCTGTATCTATTTGTAATTATAGTGGACTGATGACTACCTTATGACCACTCACACTTCTGGCAGCACACAAAGGACCAACAACATATTAGATGAGGAGTGTCATAATGTTTTGACTCATTAGTTTGTAAAGAAACCATCTCAGACAAAATACTACTGATGGCAAAAAGCCCAATCTACATATTTGTACTGGTTTTAAATGCATAACAATAATATAAAGTACATATTGTAGTGATTAAGGGTCAGTCTTACCAAGTATGCCCACTGCAAAGTACCCCAACAAGGCCAAGATGAAGAGAATACAACAGAGGACGTCTGTGCACCCCCTGAGGACAGATAGTAGGCAACATGTTGTTATATCATCAATAATAACTACAGAGAGCAAAACATGAGCAGATAGTAAGAAAGACGCCTCACCTGTTGTGGATCGGTCCTTTGAAGTTTGGATCAAACTTCCTGGACTCCCCTGACGATAAAAAACAGAAAACAGGCTTGTTCATGTTCTCTCTATCACAAAACATGTAGAAAGGCTGGTTGAATAAAAACCTCATTTAAGGGATTTTTTTAGGTGACCAGGAACCACTTATGATTGTTCACATTCAAAAAAGACTTTAATGAAAACCCCTTAACTCTCTGAACCTAAAAATCACAGGCAGGTTTCAAAGGCCTGTCATGTATTTGAAAAAAATCACCATAATGACACTGTTTATCAGATACAGAAACTGTCTGATTTTCAACTTTCTGAAAGACCTACAACATATATTCCATCTAAAAACTTCACCAAATCTGCAACGGAGAAGCCACACGGGCCTCAGCTGCAACCAAGTTTTCAGCTGAACTGCAGGCTGTGCTTACACAGAGCAGATACGCGACAAGCATACAAACAAATTAAAAATGTAAATAGTAAAATATCTATAGTAGGTTTTCCCTTCTTTCCCTCCCCATTAGGCTGTACTTCCAGCCATGGTTGTGGTGTTTTCATAGAGGTTCAGGACTTTATATTGCAGTTAAATAAATAAACAAATAACCACAGTACAACAGCTTAAACAAATTATTGATTAGTTAATTAACAGAAACTAATGGTTTATGATATATAAAAGTTATTTTAAAACAAAAATGTTTGCTGTTGTTTCTCAACTGTGAATATTTGCTGCTTCTACTATTTTATAAACTAACTATTTTTGGTTTTGGACAAACAATCTGACCAATCTCTTGCAATCTCTTAGGCTTTTTCAGACCAAATGAGACAAGACACTAAAGAGCACATAACACACACACACACACACACACATATGTATATTAGAAATCACATACAATTTAAAGCCAATTAAAAATACATTTTTTTTTGACCAATATAATCTGCCATTCGACCAAATTAAATTGCTGTAAAATAATACCACGGTTGTGAGGCAGTTGTGCTCCTTTGTGTTTCTATTATGACCATGTTTGTGTGTTTTTAGTGTAAGTTTGGGAACCCCTGGCTTTTGACAAAGGGAATAACTGTAAGCTGCAGAACTTTGTAGAAACAGTAAGTATGCTAATGTGCAAGCAGCTATATTGGTAAAATGGCATATTTTGCTCATGTAAATGTTTAAACAGACTTGACTCACCACTAAAACAGTATTAAAGGTGCGGAGTTACTGTATTATGCATAATTGTACTATTAAAAACTAGGTTTCCTCCACATCAAACGGCCCTCTTTCACCAACATGAAAAGTTACTGTCTGGTGGTCTACTGGTTAAAACACACAAACACAACATCCTGTTGGCCCAATTTCACTGTGTATCTCTGCTAGCACTAATAAAAAAGAAGAAGACACAGTAATTAAAAAAAATAAAATAAAAAATAAAAAATAATACTCCATGAATACATCTGGAGTGCATAATGGTTAAATGTGTATAATTAATCGCATCTGTTTTTAAAACCGAAACTGAAACTGAGCAATCAGTCACTTTCAACACATTTGTTTGTCAACACGTTTCACCAATTTGTCATTTCTTGATTTAACACAGACCATCAAATTCTTTACAGACAATTTAAAATTCATGATATTTTAGAAGTAACGCATCATAAAATGCGTATATGTGATACTAGTGTATGCACTGAAGAGTACAGTGTGAGTCCATGTATTGACAAAGACTTGTGGAGAACAAAAGGATTCTTCTGGCTGACAGACATGCCTAGCAACCCACAAAATGGCTCCCCGGCGACGGTGTGAGCTCCCTGTGGACATCACCAGCCGCCATGGAAACACCTCAGACACAGCAAGAGGAGAAAACATCGACCAAGTCTGCCCTGCCTATGGTGAGATCATCAGTGAGCTCAAAGCCAACAATCCTCAAAAAACACAAATAAGATACACCTTTAAATACACCGGAAATCAGTCTACACTTTGCATAAACACCGTCTCCTTAACCTACATCCTCTTATAAGATTACCACACTATGACACATCCAGCCCTTTAAGTGGGTCTGCCACACCCTTTATGGCGATTCATAACGGAGCACTCGTGAACAGCTCTTTAAACGCTTTAATGTAGAAAGAAAGCGAGCGTTTGAAGTTACTTGTTAGAACTGCACAGTGCCTATATACAGTATTTCTGCTACTTCGAACTCAGGAAACACACAATTAATCTGCCCACACACTGCAGACAACAGCTGAGAAGCGTCACATTGTTTTAAGTGAAGTGTGACAACAACACCCAAAGCTCAGTGAACCAAAATCTCACAAGTTAAAATAAAGACATTCAGTGACAGTTTAGAATTAATCAACACTGTGACAGTACCTGTTCTTTTATAGTTTGTCATTCCTCCGTGTTTTTACTATTTCAGTTTGTGAAGTGGTTGGTATTATTAGTTCCTCTCAGTGCAGTGCGTCTTGCTGCTGTTGCTTTACGTCTCCTTCCTGTATGAGGCCTGTGTCTTCCGACCTCTCACTCTTCACTTCCTTCTTTTACTGTATTCGGAGCTCTGCCTTCACCTCCTATTCCCTAATTCTCTCTCTGCTATCTCTCTTGGCTCAGCGCAGTTGTAGCAAGACCAGTATTGATGGGGGAATTGAGAGAGGATCCTAAAATAAACAGAGAGAGTTGTGGCGCCTGAGAACCTGCTGTTGCCCAAACTGAATAAAGACTAGAAAGCATGAGGTTTACCCATCTGAGTGCGGGGACTGTTTGTTCCAGTGGCGGGTTGACACGTTCTGAAAGCAAAACAGTCCTCCACTGTAGCATCACAACAGTTATTTCACGCTTCACCTCAGCCCACTGAGTTGACATGATAAACGGTGTGCAGCTGTTTTACACGGTGCAGCTGCATGCACTCTCACCTCCAAAGAAATGTCACTCCAACAACTTGAGCGTAGAAAAAAAACTCAAAAACACTGCTGCTACTTTGCAGCTCGTCTCTCAATGTTTCCTCAGTTTCCTGCTTCGACTCTAAGCTGCCTTCTTTTCGCAGCATTTCGACAGCGTCCCCCTCTAAATGCTTTCATACTGAACAATGGACAAAGATTTCTTCAAATTGTTTCATGCGTTGTTAAGACAATGATTTGGTTATGATGTGTTGTGCATGTGTCTGCACATACGCTGCAGTGAGCTGAACTGTACATCTGAGATAAGGCCATCCTACATGCTCTCTGGTGGCACATGACCACCTCCGCTGCCATGTGACGGGCTAAAAGCATGCCATAGTTGGAAATACAATACTAACTATTGACCTCATCTGTCTGGATCATATCCTTGTACATGCAAATCAGCCTGGTAAGAATCTCAGCTGTTTAACCTGCATTACCGCCTGACAGATACTGGGTTTTTGGGAACACAGACTATTTTGAGAAGCGCCTTGATTTGTTTGCTTGTTCGGACTATAAGAAAATCAATACCACTCTCATGTCGCTCTGCTAAATGTGAATTTACAGTCAGGAGACAGTTAGTTTAACACTCTGAATCCCAAAACCTGCCAGTGGGTTCAAAAGGTATGTCAATGTTTTGTTTAAAATCACCAAAATTATTATTTATCAGAGCCAGAAACTCTTACAACTGAAAGAATCATCAGATTTCCAACTTTCTGACAGTCTTTAAATTACCCATCTGTTATGTGCTGTCCTGTTGGAAAATTTTACTAAATCTAAGGTTAAAATCGTGATATTTCAAAATCACTTTATTCTACACGTCTCATTTAAAATTTTGACAGAAATAAATTAATAATCAAACCATATTCTGCAACAAAAAAAAACAGATTAATAATAAAAATAATCTGCAACAATGAAGCCATTCGTGACACAGCTGCAACTAACACTCACATGGCAAAGGGACTTTCCGGTTAAACTGCAGGCTGTGTTTACACAGAGCAGATATACGGAAACAAATAAAAAATGAAAAATGTAGGCAATCTCCACTTTTTTCAGTTTTTGTAACACCTGTGGATAAAATATTGTGCATATTGTGTAAAATAAATAATCAAAGAATATCTATATATAACTGCTTTGGGTTTAGGGAGTTAAGAATAGCTTAGCAGACAGCTAGTCAGCTTCAAAACAACAGGTAGCAGGTTAGCTGTTGTTTACATCCTCTGCTAAGCTAAGCTAACTAGCAAGCAGTAGGTTCACACAGGTATGAGGCGGTACCAGTGTTCTCAGCTAACTCTCAGCAAAAACATAAATATGTGTACGCTAGACAAAGAGAACTGTTGTGCCAACTTAAACGAATTGCTTAATTTGGTAACACACAATTGAATAAAATTTATTAAATGTATCAAACATTAACAGTAACATTAATGTTGTTGGTTTTAGTTAAACGTACTTAGAAATCATCCTTCATTTTGATTGAACACTTCATTTTAGGGGAAGTGAACTTCAAGCTTCCAATTTTTCCAACTCAAGCATTTGTTTTACCCAAAACACCGGAATCTTTTTGCGTGGAGTTTGCATGTTCTCCTTGTGCAGCGTGGGTTCTCTCCAGGTTCTCTAAATTGTCCATAGGTGTAAATGTGAGTGTGCTTGGTTGTCTGTCTCTAAGTGTAGCCCTGTGATAGACTGGCGACCTGTCCAGGGTGTCCCCTGCCTTCGCCCTAAGTCAGCTGGGATAGACTCCAGCCCCCCCGCGACCCTAGTGAGGATTAAGCGGTGTATAGATAATGGATGGATGGATGGATGACTTTGTCTCTATAATTTGGTTCTTTCTTTTTCTCTACTCTGTAATCCAAATGAAAATAAACGACGGATGAACTACAGCCATTTAAAAAAAAAACAAAAAAAAAACCTGGACGTTGCACAATGCAGAATAAGCAGTAAACCAAATGTTTGCACCTTTGCAGAAATTACAATATCAGTTTAAAGAGATAAAGTGTAATTTCAAGTTGATAGAATCCACAAAAGTAAGCTGCCATCACCAAAGCAGAAAGAAAAGAGATTCATTCAGAACAATACTTTGCTTTAACTACAGCTCAAACACACTTTTTACGGAGTACTGTCCAAAGTATCCAAGTATTTTTAGCATTTAGGCATACTACAAGGAATGATTTGTTTAAAAGGATCCCTTAGGTTCTGTTTAATTAAAGAATGACAGAGTGACATTTTACAGCTGAAAAATAAACTCATCAGTGCTCTCTGATGTACAGACTATGCTCTGAAGACACTGCTGTATGCGCAATTTCTTGTTGCTTATTGGCATCAATGAGAAGCCAAAATGAGCTGATAATATCAATATCAATGTATTCTTTGGGCTCTAAAACTTATGTTATTTATGAAAATATAAGGTGATTTTGTGGAGAAAATGAATAAAGATATGAAAATGGGGCTGCCACATTGTGACTTTAATTTAAAAGTTTCAGACTGATAGAGTTTAATGATTGAAATATTAGTAACTCCAACTGCAGCACAGGTTTACATGGATAGAAGACATAATAAAATAGCAGGATGCTGAGTGCTGACATGTCCACTATCCAGCTGCAATTTGAGTGTGTAAAAGGTTTGTTTAGTGTTATTTGCTATGTGTGTGCATGTGTATACATTTCCTCTTACTCTTCACAGAGGAGGATAAACATTGAAAGAGATTTTCCATCAGCCTTTCATTTGTAGAACCATCTGTGAACGTGAAACATTAGAGACGGAGGAGCAGGCGGCTCTCTGACTGTTTTGTGCCATAAAATAAGCTCTGATTGTGCCGAAAAGCTTTCCAGCAGATTTGCTCGTCTTGTTGTTGTTGTTGTTCAGACTGCCAAATATCTCATAAATGGTCTCGTTTGTTTAGGTATTTGGCACCACTGATGCAACAGTAGTTTGCTGATGTCTGTCTTATATAGTACATGTAGCCATGTTAGGAAGAGATTTTTTTAAAGATGCAAATATTATAGCTTTATTTTGTTAAAATTGGGAGTAACCTGGGCTAATCAGGTAATTCATTACATGCTTACGGGAGCCCAGATGGTGAAAACCCACAGGACCTTCCAGACTTTTGTCTACACATCTGCCAGTAATCCAACCTTTAGCCGTAATTAATGTCTCAAAATCATTTTTTCTTGTAAACGACTCGAGTGTGAAAGCAAAGAGTGAAACAATTGCATGTGTGTGCGTGTGTGTGTTAAAGGGAGTGGTGATGTCATGACTGATGCGATTCACTAATGGGCCCGGAGGGGTTATCAGATGAACCTTTCTCTGCCTACTTTAATGGGTTAGTGGCGACTGTGGTTGTTCCTGTTTGAGTGCAAAGATTGTACATGCAAGGAGACAGTACTGATACAGTTTGTCTCTTGTGCTCTTACTCCTGACATTTATATCTTTCTTTCTACACAAACAGGACTAATTGATTAACCACAATTATTGCACCGGACAGAATCACAGGAGCTACGTTGTGTACTACTCTTCTACTGCTCCAGCTGCCACGGCATCAAAAAAAACCTCCCCTTTTTACCATTAATGAGGTCAGCCACCAACAATTTCATAAAAGAAACCCATTTCAGAGCTTAATAAAACTTGACAGCCACTCTGGCTCAGATCACTGTACTCCTCACAGACACTGTAGCAACAACTCCTTTTCCCAAAAAGTCCAGATCATCAGAAGGGATCATTATGAAACACTGAGCAGCGGTGTGTACATACAGCGAGTGTGGCAATGCACCCGTGTTTGCCAGCTTAATATTGACTGGAAGTGTCTTGACTGTGTCTGCTGAGTGGGAAGAGCAGACAAGGCTGAACACAATCCAGGAAAGTGCAAGCAGCAGCCTGCCTGAATGCACGTATGCTGGCCTAGATATGAGAGGGCAATGTAACGTCTCCCAGGTTAAACTGTAAAGGAATACTGCTGAGCTGGAATGTACCTATCTTATAAAGCTTCATCTCCAGTTTTAAAGGGCTGCTGTTTTTAACTTTTGAGCCCTCATCGGGGAAAAGGGAGCCAAGGAAAAAGAGTTGTTTGAATGGCAACAGGAAAGCCACAAGGAAATGTTCCCCGGGACTGACCGACTGGGGAGGATGTGCACTTAACATTTCACACTGCGTTGTGAAAGAAGGAGTAAGTCAACAGCGTTAGTGCAGCATTCCCAGTGAAATAGCAGCATGGAGATTTGCGGTTTTCCTTTGAGCCGCCTGTAACCATCCACTGGTATTGTCACGGGGTATTAAAGCAAAGGATAACTCTGGTTACGAAAACTTCATGACTCAACAATCCATATGAACAACAACCCATCCCAGACACCAGAAGACCACACCAGGCTGCTGTGGCAGGCCTGCTAACTTGGTGCTGCTGGAAAAAAAAATAAAAATGCATGTGTGACACACATAATGATCAGCAATGAGTCATATGTTTGGCTGATACAGACCATGAATTTTCCATTATATGCGCCGGCAAAGAGACTCGACAGATATCTGTAAAGTTTATGTGTTTTTCTGTTTTGCACAAATGTATCAATTTACAAAACATAATGCGGAACATAATTAAACTAATCTGCTTTTGTGTTATCCTGCCGCACCTACAGAATAACCTCAATATGAAATTTAATACAACCTGAGTTTATCAAGACAGGTCTCATATTGTTAATAAACCCACTTTATCAGCCTCTTGAATCATTCTGATTGAGTTGTGGTGTCATCCGGAGACATATTTAGTTGCCAAGACAATCTGTTCTTAGATTTAAAAAAAACAAAAAAAAACACCCATTCACTTTGTACTGTAAAATGCAAAATTAAAAGCAACTTAATGGACGTTTTTCAGAGATTAAAGATAAGAACCGATGAAAAAAATAACCGGAGAGGATGATGAGAATATCTCCCCATCTGCTAAAGCCCCATGAGGTCCACACCCATCCATCCATTGCAGTCATTGTTTCCATTTCTTCGCTTCGTTTGGAGGAAAGAAAAAAAGGATCGAGCAGAAAGCGGTGCCACAAAAAGCTCCTCTTACCGTATTTCGGGTCTGGGTTTTTCTCCTCCAGCTCCATCTTCGCACACTCGCTCGGCTCCTCGCTGCTGATCACACCTTAGACAGGACAGTTACCATGGAAATGTCGAGGCAAAAAAAAAAACATCAATAACACTGACCGACTGAGCAGCGAGCGGAGTGCACCGAGAGAAATCAAACCGGAGCACAGCGTATTCCAGCCTAACGGCGAGGCGAGGCAGCCCATCAGAGAGCAGCGCCCGGTGACTGACAGCTGCGACGGCCAATCAGGGTGCGCCTCTCCAAGCAATGGAATGTGTATGTGGCGTGTGAAGACTAATGTGTTTTTAATGGAGTCGATGTACTTAATATGACAAATTCTTTAAATTATTTGCTGTAAGTCACCAAAAAATAAGCACTGCAATAAAAAAACAGCACATAAATGTTAGGAAATGTCTCTAAGTAAAGTGTAGAGTTAATTACTAGAGTGTTTTAGGCGTTTTCAAACTTTTACTTTATGAAAATTTCATACCCAACTTTAGGCTTTACCATATGAGCTTATAAACAAAGCAAACGTGGTCTCAATTTGACCAAATACACTATTCAAATACTGCTCACAAGTAAAACTATTGTAATATAACATTAACATTCCTGCTATGCTACAGAAACAGCACTTTCACTTCTGATACCTCCAGTACATTTTACTGATTTTGAAAAAATACACAAAAAATGACATGCACTATAACAACACCTGTGTTTCATATTTAATGTTACTTAAAATAAAGTTAAAAAAAACCTCTCTACAACCAGTGACTCTGCTAAAACATCTCTGCACCACACAATGAGAGTATTACATACATACGTAGCCATACATATTCGTAATGTAACCCAAATCTAAAGACAAAGAATTATAAAGAAAGCCTGCAAGCTTTTAGGAAAGGTTCCAGAGTTCATTTTACTTAAAGTAATGTAAAACCCAGCATCACAAACTACGGTTCTGCTCAAACACTGTAAAACTTCCTTGCGCTACACAACAAGAGTTGCAGTAATGGAGTATTCTTGAAATGTTGTGCAGCATGTTAAAAAACACCATATGGACAGGTTAATAAGAGGGAAAAAAATATGTTTACCAGAGGGATCTGGAAAAAAAAAAAATCCTCTTCTCTACCCTGAGAAAACACTTTTTAACTATCTGACTCAGGATATGAGAGATTTAAACCCATGAAAGATTTAGGAGCAGAGATGCCCAGTCTATGTTAAGTTTCATGGGAAAAAACTGGCAAAAATGCTGGCCTACTATATTTTGTGTTGCTCGATGTGGCTCATTTTAATTCCAGTGTTTCCTTAGGGGGGTCCTCCACACTGGGGGCTGTGTGCGGTCTGCTGCTGGGGGTGCTGTCTGCAGGTCCTTTCGGCCGGCTGGTTGGGGGGCTCCCCACCTCGTTGTGGGGATCCCCCTGTCTGCCAGGTCGGGGGTCCGGGCGCTGGCGCCCCCAGTAGTCATGGTCTGCAACTCCTCCTGGTGTGGACGGCCCCAATGGCAGCGTTTCCCACAATCCCTCAGTGCCATGCCATGCCTCTTTTAGTCTCGTGGTGAGTGTGTGCGTCTGTGTGTGCGCGACTGCATTTGTTGTATGTGTATGTGTATGCATGCAGGGTGGGAGGGACGGGTTTATTTTATTTTATTTTTTGTTGTAATGTTTTTAAATGCTTTGTTGTTTTTAAATGTTGTAAAGCACTTTGCGTTGTTGTTGTTGCACATGAAAAGCGCTATACAAATAAAATTTGATTGATTGATTGATATACACCCATCAACCACGACAGTTAAACCACTGACAGGTGAAGTGAATAACACTGATCATCTCATTATAATGCAATGTTCTGCTAAAAAACCTTGTGTTCCAGCATTCATGTGGACGTTACTTTAACACGTACCACCCACCTAAAAGTTGTTGCAGACTGTCCCATGGCAACGGCACGACAGCAGCCCCCCCCAACAGAACAATGTCTGCCACACCCCAAAAACTTCTCAGGAACAGTTCGAGGAGCACAACCAAGAGCTCTAACACCAAATCAAAACTCAACAGAGCCCAGGCATCTGTGGGATTCACTGGAACAAGTCCAATCCACAGAGATACCACCATGCAACCCACACCACCCAAAGTGTCCACTGCCAACATACAACCTTAGAGATTGGTGATGTGGCAGGTAAATGCTGCTTTGATGGCAAAACAGTATCCTACACAATATCATGCAGGTAGTTTTAATGTTGTGGATGATCTGTGTACGACTGGTGACCTGTCCAGGGGGTCCCCTGCCTTTGCCCTAAGTTGGCTGGGATAGGCTCCAGCCCCCCCGCGACCCTAGTGAGGATTAAGCGGTGTATAGAAAATGGATGGATGGATGGATGGATGATCTGTGTACCCACTACAGCAACTCTGACATGTGCACAGAACAAACTGGAGGACAAGCTTACTAAAATTAACTAATCCCCTGACAGAGAAACATTTGCATGAGTCTCACTCATGACAAAACTCAACTGACTGGAACCTTCAGTCACAAAAGTGTCTGGAGCAGGTAAAGCAATGGATAATTTGAAAGTATGAAATGTTGTCAGGTTTCAAAAGAATATCCAGAGGGCCCATTCTTCATCTAAAATGACAGTCAAACCAGACAAAACTGCCAAATACATGTTACAACGCTTCTTGGTGTATTTTTTTTCTGCTAATTTAATAACTGGTATGTTTTCAAATAGGACAAAAAGCAACAATAGCTGGTTGTATATCAAAAAGGTAATCTGTCTTTTTGTCTCTAAAGACATCTACAATAAAAACTCTATTTTTTATCTTCTTAACATGTAAACATGGTGTTTTTTTAATCTGCTACATGACATATGAGCAAAATATTCACCATTCAACACCACTGTTGAGCATTTCCTCAATGAAGCAGCACTGTACCGACGACAGCCTCAAAAACATGGAATCAGAGTTCCAGGATTTTAAAGAAAGAAGGAAGCTATGGACCGAATCCAGGAAGGGATTATTCTCAGTAAATAAAGAAAACTTCTAAGTAACTGAGATACACAGAGAAGAGTTTTAGGGGTTTAAATAAAGACTGGAGAGTGACTTCAAGACTATTTAAACATCCAGTCTCTCGTAGCTTTTTGTAATTTGTGACAGTTTGTAAACTTAATTTATGAGTCTTGCAGTTTCATTGCTTTCTTTGCTTACTTATATTAAAGTAACTTCAATTTTAAAGGTGTACAGTTTGCAGACAGGTGATAAATGAAATGAAAAAACAACATTGAGTGTCCTGCAGTTCCCTGTCAGATGATTTCAGACTTTCAGTGTTTTCTTGTAAAACATTACTGAACACCTTCTTTTATCATAAGGGCTTTCTAAACTGGTTTAAATGTAGTTATTTTATTTTGTTCTTGTATGTTTTACTTTGTCCTTCATATGTTTTTCCAATATTTGTTTGCTCATATTGTAATTCTCTCTGCATATATGTGCACGTGTGTGGGTGTTTACTTTGTTGTATGTTGTGTAACCTACAACAAGCTGCTAAAAATGAATTGCCTTAAATGGGAATAATAAAGCTGTGTGAACTGAATTGTCTCTTCATCCTTGGGATTGTGTTTTTAGTCTTTTGCATATTTGTAAGTTTTGTTTACTTGGTTTTATATTTATTTAAATGTCTGCTTTGTGCTGAACCCTGAAAATCATGATAATTATGATTATGATTATGATTATTGTTATTATTATTATTATTATTATTATTATTATTACACCAGTTGAAAATGTGCCATAGGTGTCCAGTTGGGTTGAAATCTAACTATGAAGGCCACAGCATATCATTTACACACTCATCAAAGCCCTCGGTGACCTCCGGTGTCCTATGGATGGGTGCATTGTCATTGTCAGGACAACTTTGTATTGATTTACAGTGACCCTTTCCTCTGAGGGCACAAGTGGAACCAAATTATGCCACCAAAATATCCCCAATAGCCACAACAGAGCCACTGGAGCCCCTTAATGTGGGGTCCAGGGTTCAACTTTTAATTTTAATTCGCCACCTGTCTGTATTTGTTGTTGTTGTGTTTGTTTGGCCCCTCTGTCAGCTGTACCGTCCACGAGTGTGTTGGCAGTGTCACTTATAAAACTAGTTGCAGGCCTGACATTCTGTACATGGCTCCTTATTTTACCGGCCAATGAGCTGGAAGGCGGTGGGCCGACACCCTCCTCTCCCCCGGCTTACACGTCCATCCCTGGGCGCCATGTTGAGTGTGGAAACGCGCAAGAAAATTTACTTAACAGACCTGCAGCAGCTTCAGACTGAGGTGTTCACGCAGCACGGGAGTTTCCACAGACATTCCCAACAAAAAAAAAACTCCGCAACTTGTTTCCCATAATTGTTTCCCAGCAGAAAAAGTTTGTTGCGTAACGTGCAGTAGTTGCGTAACTTGTGCGCCATGCGTCTTTCCAGCGCGTTTTGCCTCACCTGCCATGGCGGACAGGAGCTCCCACGTTTGACGTTACGTATCTCCGTGACGTGCCATCGGCAGGAATATTACTTAAGCAACTTTTACAGCCCGAGTCACCAACGAGGAGTGATCGGATCATCAAGATAAACCCACCGAGAAAACAAAAGGTACCGAACAGATACACGTTTCCATTGTTCTGTGGATAACTTCATGTTGGTCTAACTGGCATGCAGGTGCTGTGAAACTTACTCAGAGGATAGCATGTTCGTGTGTTATGAAATGGGCAAAGTGTTTCAAAAAGGATACAGATTGATAACATATTAAATGTTTTATACAAACACCTAATTTTGCCATGCATAGAATGATAACAATGTCTTAATCCATCCAAAAGGTGTGTTTACTCTCCTACTAAACACTACACATGGCATATGGTGACACTGGCCTGCATTTTAGCATAAAGTGTGTCTATACTCTGTTACCTGCTGTTTAAAATGACACTAATTCAGTATATATTTCTCTTTTTTTCTCCCCTCCATGTTCAATAAAGTCATGGCTCTCAGAGGTGCTGTTACACGTCTCCTCTCCAACAGCCAGAAATGTGCTGCAGTCACTGTTTCCAGAGCTCAGGGCACAGCTGCAGCGCTGAAAGGTGCATCTGAATTTCTTGATTTTTGTCTTAGATATATACGAAGAAGATCAAGTTTGGCCTCTCAGTATCCAAAAGCCACAATATAGGAAATACCATCCTTATACTAAAAAGAACCAAAACACAAGGTGAAAGCAGAAGTAAGTTGTCTAAATTAGTCTTTTATGATGTGTAACCTGCTTTTAATTTGTGTCCTTCAGATGCAGAAGAAGTCAAAAAGCCAGCAAAGACACGTAAGTGAAGTTTTAGTGAGGTCTTCCTCAGGTTGCTTCACGTGTGGTGTTCCTGCATGTGACGGTGACATAACCATAGTGTGTCTGTGCATATGTTCTGACCCTCAGCCAAGGTGGCATTCAACTGGCGGGACGCTCTGGATCTGGAGGGTCAGCTGACAGAGGAGGAGATCATGATCCGGGACTCCTTCCGCGACTACTGCCAGGAAAAGCTCATGCCCCGCATCCTCATGGCCAACAGACATGAACGTGAGCTAAACGGGGTTATTCAAAAACAAAAACAAAAAATCAAATATGTCATAATAACAGGATAGCTCTGTGTCAGGTTTTGCCTTTTTAGTCACTTCTTGATTTGCAGCTATTAAAGAAGTCTCTACTAAATATTTGATTGCAGATTTCCATCGTGAGATTGTGTCAGAGATGGGAGAGTTGGGCGTCTTAGGCCCAACTATTAAAGGTAACAACACCAAAACTGCATCATAAATTTTTCAGGTTTTAATCCCACCCTATAGTGGACTGATTACAATAATGTTTGCATCTTTATGTGTTTTTGCTGGAAGTAAACTGCCCTGCTATTTATGACTCTGTTTTCTGTTTTTGCTGCAGGTTATGGCTGTGCAGGTACGAGCTATGTGGCATACGGTCTGATTGCCAGAGAGGTTGAGAGAGTTGACAGTGGATATCGGTCCGTCATGAGCGTCCAGTCCTCACTGGTCATGCACCCGATCAATGCTTACGGCACAGAGGCCCAGAAGGAAAAGTACCTGCCCCGGCTCGGTATGTGTGAAACTTTTTGCAATTTAAACGGCAAAGAAAAGGCTCAAGATAACATTATTTTAATCCATCTTGTTCCTTGTGTTTGCTCAGCTCGTGGAGAAATCCTGGGCTGCTTTGGCCTGACAGAGCCAAACCACGGCAGTGACCCCAGCAGTATGGAGACAAAGGCCAAGTACAACCCATCCAGTGGTACCTTCTCCATCAGCGGAGCTAAGACCTGGTAAGTAGTCGGACTGTGGCCTGCAGGTCGACTGGTTGATCAATATGCTGTCATTTGACAAAACCCTCATGGCTTGGACAGTTTCATAGGCCCTACATCAACAGTCTACTGGACATTAGTCATTATTTTTGACGACAGAAGGAACAGACAACTTGTGAAGACACAGTGAAGTGTGAAAACAGTCACTTTTTCACAACTTTGAAATTGCCAAACTTAATGGTGACAGTTCCGTATTGCTTATTTAACATTTACTAAAGTTTCCTCAAAATCAACTTCATACTGACACCATGTCTGGACTGCATTTGGTTTAAATGGATGCCCAAAAAGTCAAGTGAAAACTGTGAGAACAGCTCAACAACCGACACGGCTTATCATGTCAAGGTTGTAGGAAAACTTGTTTTGTATTTGCCAGTGGTTCTTCCATTTTCAGATATCATGCAGGTACATGCTGGTCTGCTCCAAGTCTGTTAGGTATCATTGCAGTATCAAATATTGAGGCTGAATTTATTTAATATGATGCAAGTACTAGCTTTTTATGCTTACTTATGATTAATTTATTCCAATAAGGATAGCAGACAGTGTGACTGATTTCCTTCATCTACAGATAATGTGCAGGTTGTTTTCCCTGGAACCAGTTGTTTGGTTAAAGAATTCTCAGCAGAACAAGATTGTTTTGGTTGACTACAGCCTTCGTACATAGACAAACATATAAGAGAAGCATTGTCCATCCTGTTGCAGTGCTTTTTCAAAAATCTCTAACCTAAAATGTGACAAACATACGATGGTAAAACACAGCACTGGATAATAATATTTTTTTTGCTATTTTTGCTACCAGTGTAATACTGGTAGCATATTACACAACTTCTATGGTAAGAAAATAATGAACAGTTAACAGTACTACCTTCTTTTCAAAGTATCATTTTACTTCTTTCTGCAGAAGGAGAAAGAAAATTCAGTGTATCCTTTCAGTTTTGGACTGTGAGACAGTTTAAATAACGTGCCCATGGCACTCTGTTATTTCAATTTAGTTTGAGAAATAAAGTGCCATCCACAATATTAGTAATCACCAGAAACTTAACATAATAAGGTTAAGACCATACAATATTACATTATAAGGAGAAACCCAAACAGTTGCAGTGACATACTTGACAAAGACTGCTTCTCTCTTTTGGGTTAAATCACTGAAATCCTGAAATGTACAGTAATCCTGTTTAATCAGCTGACATTTTCTTCAATGTTCTTCCTCTTGCTAGGATCACAAATTCCCCCGTGGCAGACATCGCGGTCGTCTGGGCCAAGTGTGAGGATGGCAAAGTGCGAGGCTTCATCTTGGAGCGTGGAATGAAGGGTTTCGCCACCCCGAAGATTGAGGGCAAGTTCTCCCTCAGAGCGTCCGCCACTGGCATGATCCTGATGGACGAAGTAGAAGTTCCAGAGGAGAACCTGCTGCCCAACATCTCCGGTCTTGGTGTAAGTGGCTCCTTTCTCAGTTCGAGTTCAGCTCCAACAAGTGGATGTTACTCTGATACTGCAACATTGAAGCTAATATGCTAAAGACACACGGTACGACTATAGATTGTGCTGTTGAAGCCCTTCAGGACCACTTTGCTGAGTTATAAGGTGTACTCAATGCGCACAGAGTCAATGATGTCGTTAAAATCCCTTCTTAAAACATAATTTTACCAGAGAGCCTTTTTCTGATTTTACAGGAGTTTTAATTTCCTTGAACTATCTTTAATTTTATTACTTCTATCTTTTTACCATTCCTAATCTGGAAAGGTTTTTATAGCTCTTTTATTTATTATATGTTTTTACCTTTCCGACCCTGCGTAGTTTTAAAAAAACATATAAATCTGTTTTTTTTACTGCCTTTAAACTTGATGATTAATTTGCTGCCGATGTGAAGCACTTTGTAACATGTTTTGAAAAGTGCTATAATAATAAAGATTATTATTATTAGTAGTAGTAGTAGTAGTAGTAGTAGTAGTAGTAGTAGTATGAATAATAATAACTTGATGCTCTTTGCCAGAGTCAAAAATATTGTTTAAACATTCTGCTCTCCTCTAGTATGAGATGCACAAATATTTGAAGAGTTACAAGATAAATACCTGAGAATTTGAATAGATAGATGGGGGAAATACTTTTAAATAACTAATTTAAGTCACTAAACTATGACAAAATGCATTTCTTTTTCAGTATTAAATCATGGTTCTCACTGCATTGTGGAAAAATGCTTATTATGCAACTCTTCTGTCAGTTCTAGATTATGGCGACATTTTGTACATGCATCCATCGGCAGAGACTCTTGAGCCCTTAGATGCTGTTTATCACTCTGCATTAGGATTTATTAAGGCTCTCACTGTTTTTTAAGCCCACTTACATTACCTCATTACTGTCTTTTAATGTGGGCTCTTACCACACATCAAACACTACATCAAATGATCAGATTATGCTGCAGGTGCTGACTGTTGCTGAGCTTGGAAAATCCGGTTTTACTTACTGTGCTTTTGCAACCTGACATAACCTGCAGAACTAATTAAAGCCTGACTCGTTATTATCCTTAGGGCAGTTCAAGTTTTTAATGTCATCTTATTTTGTGTCCATCTGCTCTTGCTTAGTTCCTGTTTTCCAAGGTCTTATTTGTGTGCCTACATCTGTTTTTTTTCTTACTCTGCTACATTGTAAATGAGGCCTCCACTACTCAATGTACTCCAAGTTTAAATAAAGGCTGAACGAATTTATGAATTTAAAGTTCCTTTTTCTATTGTGACCAGGGTCCCTTTGGCTGTCTGAACAATGCCCGGTACGGCATTGCCTGGGGAGCTCTGGGAGCTGCTGAATTCTGCTTCCACGCTGCTCGACAGTACACTCTGGACAGGTACATGATAGGTTATCTACAGTGTGACCTTTACAGACACAGCAACATGAGAATGCAGTAAGTGAACATTACCATTTCTTCTCCTCACTGTTGTTTTTTCTATGCCCTTTTATCCTCCAATTAGAATCCAGTTTGGTGTGCCTCTGGCCAGGAACCAGCTGATGCAGAAGAAGATGGCTGACATGCTGACAGAGATCACCATCGGGCTGCATTCATGTCTGACGCTGGGAAGACTTATAGATGACAAGAAGTGAGCTGTTACACTGGTCTCTTTGTTAAGTTCCTCTTTTACAGAAACAAATCCTTTAAATGTGTGTATTCTCATCCTGACAGAGCGGCGCCAGAGATGATCTCCATGCTGAAGAGGAATAGTTGTGGGAAGGCCCTGGACATTGCCAGACAAGCCAGAGACATGCTGGGAGGGAATGGCATCGCAGACGAGTACCACATCATCCGTCATGTCATGAACCTGGAGGCCGTCAACACATATGAGGGTAAGCAAAAGTACCAACAACAGACAATACTGTAATAAAATCAAATTTGGATTGCAGTTACATATATTCCCCACCAGAGGTCAGCAATGTACAAATTATTGTCATAGACTGTATTACTACTTCTTTTTTTTACCCACTTCTGGTCAAATTTCTAATTATTTTGCAAAGGTTTTCAACCGCTTACTGTAAATTATGTAAAAATGTGTTTTATCATAGCTAAACAAAAGTTTTGGAAACTATGACATCAGTTTCAGGCCAATGACATGTTAAATTAATGTGTCTCTACATGTGAAAATGACTTGTGATGATGTATTTCTTTTTTCTGTTCTTCACAGGAACTCATGACATTCATGCCCTGATCCTGGGCAGAGCCATCACTGGACTGCAGTCTTTCACTGTTGAAAAGTAAATGGCCTCCATCATCATCTTGAAATAGATGTGATGTGGATGTATGCTACCTGTTTATGCAAAATGTATGCATAGAAACATGAGGTCAGTAAATGGTTTGCACACTTTTAGGCTCCAAATAAGTAATTAAATTCTCTCTTAAAACACTCTTTTCAAAGGCCTTTCAAGTACATCTGTTTTCTATCTTGCACCCTTACATTTTTATTGAATGTGTGCACATTTTGGACATCTACTGGAAACAGGTGGTGCCTCATTTACCTCACATTAGGAGTAGTGTCTGGTGGAGTATACTAAAGATACCTCATCACATTTGTGTTTTCAGGTTACTGAGGGAATCTCTCAAAGTCTGTTAGCTTTGGTGCATATTTAAAGTCAACCTGACAATCCATTGGGTCCAACTGAGATATGATGTTTGTACAGCTGAAATGCGTGAACTGTACTTGTTTGGTGTGGTACGTGTAAAGGTTGTGGCATATTTTATGATACGTTAATATGTAAATAAATAGCTTTGAATGAGTGGAAAGACGTGAATGCTGAAATACTGTGTGTCGAGACCCCTTCATGCCCTGTACCCAAAATAAGTCCTATAAGATTAATACCATGTTTTTTTGGTCAAAATCAGTTTGACGAATCCTGTTGTTGTTGATGCATCTGAGATAAACATGAATATATAAATATAACACTATAGAGACCATGATGATGCAAAAAAAAGAAAAGTTAACACCAGAGTCAAATAATTCATTTCCTACAGTTCATGTTTGTTGTAATTTTATTTATTGAATAAACAGATGCTGAAACTGAACATCAATAAAACTTGGATTTCAGCTTTTGTTTTTGTATTCTTTGACTGGAATTGTGAGTGTTAACCTCAAATACTGTCCAAAAAACCGAGTCAACTGCGTATTTTTGGGAAAGGACTAAGAACAAACATGTAACCAAAATGAAACTCACTCCAGCACTTGAACAAATAAAGTCAACTAGTCTGAAATTGCAATATAATAATGAACAACTACTTCAGAATAACTTATTAACTAGTGTAGAATAAGATTAAGTTGTTTTTCACGGTTCTGTCTGGGTGATAGCCAGACCCTCTCTGAGACATGCCAGGGCCTGAGTGGCTTCCAGCAGCTCACGGTTGAGCTTCGTGCAGCTCTCCAGCACCTCTGAAAGCTCCTGCAGCTTCACCTGCATCGCATCGCTGTCCTCCTCATAGACGGTGTACATGTGTCCCTTCATCTGCTGGCACATCTCTCTCACCTGATGTAGGGAAATAATCCGATCATTGGACTGATCGGCACCTTTGTTGACAGGCACAGAGCAGATTTCACAGCAAAAACAGAGCTGAGGTTTCAGTCGACATGTAACTTCCTACTTTCAGTCTTTAAAATATCACTGTTCTGTCTCAAATCATTAGGGGCCTTCTGTTTGACCATTTCTGATTTGCTTGAAACTTTTTGAAAACAATGGTATCAGGCTGATTTATCAAATATTTTTAGAGAGGTTTTTTTTTTTTTTTTTAAATTGCTCGTCAACTCACTTTCGGCATGTTTTTTTTAGCCTAAGTCTACAGCGTTAGACTATCAGATAATCTTTAATTTATGGGTGAGTTGAAAAATTAAAGCAGTCATGAGTTGTCCCATCACTGAGCACACATTAACAATAATAATAATATAATAATAACAATAATAATAAAAAGAGACATATTTTTCATTTTGAAATTCTTAATCAACTTCATGATGAGAAATAATAGTGAAATATGTAGATTTTTACCTTCAATAGTTCCTGAGATACTGTCCTTCAAGCACAGCCTCAAGTTTTAATGTGTGTAAAGAAAATAATAAAAAAAAAATAATAATAAAAACAAAAACATGCTGAAAGTGGAATAATGAGTATTTTTAAAAATATGTTTAATCTAGGATTTCTCTAACTTGTCTAACAATTTTTCATCCTGTAAGAATTTCGGGCAAAACAGACGGCCAAGCAGAAATTGTTCTAAAAATATGATGAGGATTTGTGATGGCATGACCCAATACTGACTCTTACCAGATACATTAAATAAGTTCTGTACCTTGTCCAGCAAATTCTCCTCAAAGCTGTCCATCACTTTCTGGTCACTGGTGCGGCTGTGGTTAATATTCTCTACCATTTCCTGCGCTCTTCTACTGATGTCATCTATGTTTGAGCTGCAACAGATGCTGGTGTACAAATGTTCAAAGAAGGTTGAATTTGACTATAATGACTTACTATTTGAGGAACAGTAGTACTCTTGAGTTTTGTTCACAACTTTACAGCTGGGACTGCAGAGGTGATACTGTACCTGCTGTCCTGCTCTTTACTCTCAGTCATGCTCATGTTTGAGGACTCCCCCCTTGATGAATCGATGCCCATGTCTTCTGGCTGTATTGACAAGTATTATGAAAGAAACTACAAAAAATATATCTCACATCACCAGTTTCACAATGTTGCAGATCCCCCAAAATCTTCATAAGATTTGTTTTCAATCTTATGCCTGGAAAACCTTTCAGAACAAGATGTTAACTTGTTGGAGCAAAATGAGGTGTACTCCTTATTGTCACCCCTCCTTTTTGGAAGGGTTTTAACTGTAATATTTACTCAGGTAAATTCACATGATAAATAACACTAAAAACTTTAATATTTAAACTTGTTAGGCGACTTTGCAATGACAGCGTTGACCCTCTACTGGAAAGCCCTTTGGCTTAGTAACTGAAATGTGCTATATAAATGACAGTGATTGTATGTTGTGTGAACATTTAAAAAAAAAAAAAAAAGGAATGGTTTCTCCCATTTATTCATCACATATGCTTTAAAGCTTATCATGACGGTTTAATCTAAATCTCTCTACCACATTTTGTCCTCAGCAGTAACAGTAACTTGTTAAAAAAAAAAAAAAGCATGCATCTTGTGTAACATTTTCCCCCACAAAAAACAATATCTTGATCTCACAATTTTAAAATCGCTATATTTTATTTTTTTTTAAATAAAAAATTTTGACAGCATTACCATCTGTGAATCTTGATGCCCTTTCTTGGGAGTGGACTGGGAGATGGATGGAAGGTTCTCAAAGAGAAAATCCATTTTGATGTTTGACTCTGCTGGATCAAATAGGAGTAGAATTTGAAGGAAAAAAAGTCACACTTGCTAAAAATACAAAGACAATTACTGAAAATAAATCTTATTCTGTTAGATTAGCAAATTGAGTTAGCTGGTTGATCAGCTCTTTACTTACAGCTAACCTAGCAACAGATATCTAAGCTTGAGCTAACCACTTTATTTCTGAAACATTACTTTTACAAGCCACAAACCCAAAACTGAATGTAGTTATGTAGTACACAGTATGTTGTAAAAAAAATTGCAATGCTATTACTTACAAAATTATGGCTAACTCTGAACTAGCTCGTGAAATGCTGACGTGTCTCATGCTAACCATAGCTACTGGTGCTAACCTGCTGTTTCATGCTAGCTATAGCTATGCTTTTTTTTTTGTTCTAATATTGTTCATTAAGTAAGCTGAAATCCTGACAACCTTTTTAATATTGTTTGTATACACCATGTTGCAAACAAATTGCTATAGTATTAGCTTTTAAAAACGATATCTGTCTTGCTATTTGGCCGACATTGTTAGATAACTGTAGCTAAATCTGCACTAGCAAGACAAGCGCTAACGTGCTGCATCATGCTAGCTGTAGCGACAGCCTTGTGGTTTCCTATTATTCTTAATTCAAAAAGCGAAAATGTGTACATTACTTAAATAACATCATACTCTGGTAACAATTATATTTATATGCAAAATGAGTAGATGTTCTCACCTGGTTGCTCCACAATGTAAAAATACACTACAACTAAATCCTGATGGCCCTTGTTACTCTTGTTGTATGCCCGTTTAAATATAATTTAAATAATTTGATTTAATGGTGCAGGTTGATATACAATAAACTCTTAACAATTTTTACACAGCTTAAATATAATAACTAAATAGAATTGTGCATTAACTATGGATGCCAAATTAATTACCTTAAATTAATTAATAAATTAAAAGTTTTTTTTTAAAAAGTTATTATTTTTAACGTTGTAGAACAATAGTGGAGGCATCAGGAATAATGAATAACACATTTGGATTTATGAAGTAAGCAGAAAACACACACACACACATATATATATATATATATTAGATTTTTTAAAGTAGGCACCTTTTGCTTTGAGAACAGCTTTACTGTGCACTCTTGGCGCTCTCCTAATCAGCTCAACCAGGCTGGATCTTTTCAAGCAGCCTTGAAGGAGTTCCCATATATGAGCCGAGCACTCGCTGGCTGCTCCTCTTTCACTTTGCGATCCAAGTTGTCCCAAACCATCTGAGTTGTGTTTGCAAAGGACACGTCAGCTGATGCCGCACCGCATTACCCTGGTTCTCTTATGGAGCCTGAAAGTGTGTTTTCATTGTAGCCTTGTGATATTTTTTTTTTCTTATCTATACATGCTGACTTTTATTTATTTCAGTGCAAAAACTGGTTCTTAATGAGTCTGGTAAAAGACAAATGAAGGCCCCACTAAGGGAGAACCAGTCTGGCACTGCAGATTGTTGTGGTGGCCAAGAGTAGCTTTGAATTCTGAATAAATTCCAGCTTCACAATGGAAAACCACACTTGCATATACCATCCATTCACCTGCTCTGTCTCTCACAAAGACATGCCAACTGTACCCAAAAATATCCTCATTCATCCAGATTTCCACTTGCCTTATCTTCATTACATGTGTTTCTTGGTCCAAGCAGTGTCTTTATTAAATTGCTCTCCCGCAGTAGTGGTTTTGTTGCAGCACTTCCACCATGATGGTCTGATTCACACAGTCTTCTCCCAACAATTGATCAATCAAATCAAATAGCATTAATAAACTTCTCCATTGAAGCACAGGGAACTCCTTTTCTTCCTTTGCTGGAACTTCATGAAAGCCAGTTTCATTACCAAGTTCTTGCAATAGAATTTCATATCTCAAAGTAATGATGGATTGTCATTTTTGTCTTACTTAGCTGAGCAGTTCTTGCCATAACATGGATTAGTTCCTCAGAGCTTTCTGCTGAATACCAACTATGGCTGCCACTAGCACACTGTGTGTCACTGTGTAAAAGGGCAGGAAATGCAAGCAAAGGTTTACATATTAAAGTGCATTTGAAGTACTCCCATTCATTCACATCCTTAGAAATTTTTACACCGATCTGAGTCAGACTTTACTGCTGTTGCAACTGTAGCACTGACTGCAGCTGACCAGTGACTGGAGCCAAAAATGACTGATGCAACAATCAATGATAGTCAAGAACAACTTCAGTTATAATGAACTGAAATAAAGGTTAAAAAGGTGCTTTTGTTAAAAACATTGACGACTGACTGCCAACATGTTGCATATAACAGTGGTTATGCTGTCTTCATACCAGACACAAATTCATCGCGCTATTCGCATTCTTGTGTATGGACTGGAGGAGAGGGACAGCCAGTTTGCTGAGCACTGGGATCTGTCTTGGCTAGTAATGTGGCTACTTATCTTCTGGGGTGAGTAAATCAATCAGCATTCACGGTGTAATTGCAAGAGATCAGAAAATCTAAACACTAATTGGCCATCGCGAAAGATCATGAAAGTTCAGATTTGTCAACGAGCATGTCCAACGCAAATTGGCGTCATTAGTGAATTTCGCACGTTTATGCATCGAGAATCACGTCATTGGCACGCATACCTCACTCAATTCGCATCATTCATGTGATTTGTGCCACCAGATGTTTACTCGCATAATTCAATTTCTGGTTTGATATAAATGCACTGTGCTTATATAGCACTTATATATATATATATTTTTAGCTCACAAAGCACTTAAACTTTCTGCCTCTCTTTCTTCCACTCACGCACACCTGTGCTCTTCTGCCATTGGGAATAGTCTGGGGTTCAGTGTTGCCCAAAGACACTGTGACACATGGGCAGGAGGAGCCAGGGATTGAACCTTCAACTCTGCAATAGATAGAAAACCAATCCTACTCCCTGAGCCGCAGCCATCTACATCTTCAGTGTTGCTCTAGATAAAGAAAAATCCCTGAATGAGGAGGTGTGTCCAAACGTTTGACTGAAACTGTGCATGTATGTTGTTCCTGTGTGTGCATATGTGGGGGTGGGCACATTGTGTGAGAGCATTACAGTGCAGAGAGCACTCTCAAGATTGTCGTGGATTAAGTACTCTGCTGCTGGGACGGGGATGGGATGAGGGGCTGATTGATCGCTGCTGTGGTTTGCAGAGTAATCCCTGCCTTCCCCTCTCTCTCTCTCTCTCTCTCTCTCGGTCACTGCCCACAGTCTGGATTATTTCAGCACAGAGGATGCAGCAGTGAGGCACTGAGGCTGTCTGAAACGTCCTGATGTTTCTTTTGGTTTCTTTGTGGGAGGACAATAACGGCTTGATATTAGTGAAAGCAAAGTGAAGAAGCATGTTGGTGAACTGGAGGTGCAGATGTGTTTAATTTGGAAGCTGTAATTTATTCACCAGTTAAATGTTTTATTTTACTGTGACTTGTGAGTGACATCTCAGCAAGAAGATAAATTCCATTTTGATTTTTCTTTTTTGCTCTCAATACAATGGAATAACTTGTCCTCAGTGGTGGAGCTGCTACTCTGGGAATATGGACAGCTTTAACTTCACAGACGAAGGAGGACAGTCATTCCAGTATTTGGTTCATAACATGGAGCCTATGTACAAGGAGTACAAGCCTCCTCCTAGAGACCTCATCCAGCTCCCCAAATCTGTCCTCTACCTCTTGATGGCCGCCCTGGTCGTGGTCGCTGTGGCCTACGCTATTGTGGGTCACCTCATCAAAGACCTCATGCTGGACATAACAGGTACTCGAGTCTGTCAGGAGTAGATTGAAGACTTCTTCTCGGCAGCAGTTTTGCAGATTTTTAGTTTGGTGCTGTTGGATTACATCGAAAAAAGTCTGACATTGAGTGCTGTTAAGTTAATATGATGTGACGTCAAATCTGAGGCCTTTTCAGACATACAACCTAAAAAAAAAGAATGACAGCTTAATTTGTAAAACTGTTTTAACAAAGTGCTCCTCAGAAATTGGTGAATGTTAATTTCTGCAACCCTCCTTACCTTGGAGATCCCTGCACCACAACCGGGTTATACGACTTCATAAAATGCAGCTCTCTGCCATGTTCATAAAGCTGACTGATACTGCTGTGACTTACATGAATGTAGCATTTGCTGTGCTTCATTTGTGCCGCATAAGATTTGGCAGAGCTGCAGTTGTGGTTTGGTATCATCATTATCCACGGAATATGTTATTTACTCACTAATTTAGAGTTTAATTTTCTGCTGCTTTCAAATCTCTTGCCGGCCTTGTCATGGGAACAAAGAGATGCTTTGTATTTCACTACTCACCCAAGTGTATTTTATCCATCAAGCCCAGCATTGTTCATTCTGGCCTTGTGGAGCCCATATTAACTGAATTTGTGGGTGTTTTTCAGGGGAAATGGTACAAAAATGCCTTGAGATTAAGTGCTAAGAATGTAATGATGATGCTAGATGATGAAAATGAATTGCACTGCCCTCCTCTCTCCATCCACAGACTGTTTGCTGGGCCCTGTCCAGGAAGAGCTGACAAAAGATGGAGAGGTGGAAGGAGTCTCCCCCTTGCACATGCCACCTGCCCTCACCCACTCCCACCCGAACGCCTTCCATGTGTGGGACACGGACGACATCATGATCCCCATGACGCCCCCCAGACTGGAGAGCCCAGTGTCCAGCCCCCTGATGGCCGTCATCCCGTACATACCTTCGTTCTTCCCCAACTCCCTTGCCGTGGGCAGCCCTTCCTACAATCAGCCCATCCCTAAGGAGAGCGATGCATGAGACAACTGTGAAGGATACCAGACAGTTTTCATATTCCCCCTTCACTTTTGGATTTCTTCTTAGCTTGAGCTTCTTTAGCTCCTTGAGTGGAGCACCTTCTACCCTACTTCCAAAGTTTTTAAAGGTGTTTGAAGAACGATTCCTTGGAAAAATGGGATGGAATTAGCATCACAAAAACGACCTGCAGAGA